ACTATAGACTATCACTGCATCACTGCCCCCCCCCCCCCCAAACCAAAAACAACAAACAAAACAAAAAAGAAACACAAATTTGGCGAATATATAACTCCATACGACTAAGTCAAAAGCTATTCAACCATTTTTCCTTCATATTGATAAAGATGTTGATAACACATCGTGGTCTAAGCATGAAATTTCTACTTTAATTATTATAATTAATACATAATTATCGTGTTAGAATGGCAGAACAATTTTGTTATTTAGTTACATAACAGGGTCTCATTGTTTATAATTGTAAATATTTGTAATACTTGAGATGTCTGTGGTTACTAATAGCCATGTCCGGCCCTTACAGCCAAGTAGCCTAATAAAGAGGGAAATGCCCTAAAAAAAAAACCAAAAAAAAAACCACCAAAACTTTTTCGATTTTCCTTTGATTTTCTTGTTTGGTTTTTTTTTTTTAGTGTGAAATGAGGTTTAACGTCCTACTTCTGCACCAGTCGGGCTAATGACGACGGGCATACTGCATTGGCAATGACTCTTTTACGTGCACACCGATATATACATGGGGTCTCCTTTTCATTGAGTTAAGTGTCGTGGTTTCGATTCCCCACTTGCACGTGACAAGGAGTATGATGGCCTGTCCAACCTCGTGGGTTTTCTCCGGGTCCTGTGGAATGAAATGACCTGGTTTGTGTCGATTGGACGTTGAACCATCTTTATCTCTCTCCGACGCACAAAGACAGCTCTCTAATCGTTTGGATGGTACAAAAAATCGAGGTCCCGTGTAGCCTACACATTGGTGTGTACGCAAATGATCCCTTGGTAATTGGAATTCAATATAAAAGTAGGACTTAGCGCCGCTGACCGGGCAAAATGTCCCTCATGGCCCGTCTTCATTAACCCATTCGGGGCAGAATAGTAGGACGTTAAACCCCATTTCATTTCATTTCAGTTATTCCCTTTAAAGTCTATGTACGTCATTAAAACTTGAGGGATGTCTGAGTCCCTTGGCACCTACATTATCGCAAAAGTTTAATTTCTGAAAGGTGTATCTTTCCTAAAATAGTTAAAGATATAAACAATCAAGAAACCACCTTTAAATATTGGGTAACACATTTTGATGGGCCTCCTTTTAATCCAGTTGGATTCAAGCCCGAGATTATCTACCGTTGATATTTTGATCTTGTTTTCTTAATTAAAAATGTTAAATTATCAATCTGGGTACATTTTAGCCTGACGACCAGCGACTTTAATCCAATATTATTTAATAGTGGCGCAGTCAGTAAAGCTCCGGGTTTTAGTTGAGAAATTTCTTTGAGATTTTCTTTCGTGGTTTCCCCTTTTCAGTGGTGCAAGACGAAAGGCCATTCCGTATACAGAGAACGATCTACTTTGAGAATAGATCTCTGTCCTGCATGGCCGTCATAGTGGAAGATTAGTATGTACTGTTTTGTTTTGCTATTATAATCCGTTTTATGCACACAAAGACTTAAAGATACATTATGGGAGATTCGATAAGGAGTTGGCAGTTCTCACTATAATAGTTAAGAACTAGATAACGTAAAGGCAATTTGCTGAAAATTTCATTCAAATTGATCCACTATGAACCCAGAAATAAGCGAATGAAATTTCTGCCTAGCCTCGGTCATCATTACTAAAGTCAGTACGATAAACAGCATAGTCTCGATTATCCAATTAATCGTTAAATCGAGAAGGAAAGTTATGCAGTAAATCGGCTCACAATCCATTTAAGATCGCAGGCTAGCGACGCCATATAGAGTTGATTATGGTCTGGATAAGTTAAATGTCCAATTAACAATTTACATTACATATGAAAATGGAAGCAGAATAAATACTTACCAAAGTTCTCGAAGTTTAAGTGTTTTCGACGTAAATCGTCCAAATGGGAATTTATAAATGTCGGTCAAATAGCTTCGTGTCCGGTCTCAAGCGAGGATAATTATTATAGACAGACAGTGTAAGTTTCGTACGGACGGACGGCCTGGCAAGGAACATCGTCTAGTTAGTGCGAAATACCGATCTGTCCCATGTACACAAGCACGTAGAGTGTTATAGGCCGACCAAAGTTTCTATCACAACACTTTGCGTCGCATGCCCTTCTTCTTTAGCCCAGAATCCCCGGTTGTACGTGGCAAGGAGTAGGGTCGCCTGTCCAACCTCGTGGGTTTTCTCCGGGTCCTCCGGTTTCCTCCCACTGCTAAAGACCCCTACGCGCAAGCAAATTATGTAAATAAAATTAAACCATATGTTAGTCCCGAAATGACCTAGTTTGTGTCGAGTGGACGTTAAACCCCATTTCTCTCTCTCTCTCTCTCTATCTCTCTCTCTCTCTCTCTCTCTCTTTATCCCAGTTGGTGCAGAAAAGTAGGACGTTAAACCACATTTTATTTCTAGTGATTTCCAGTTTTGAATAAAACATTATTTACCTTCCCGTCAATCCGTCTCAGAATTCCAGTCTCTTAAAAAAAACGAGTGTACCCGCCAAACTGAGAGGAGGAGTGTTTTCTTCTTCTTCCCTTAAAGACTCGGGTTCCACTTGAAACGTAGTTGAATTTCAAATCCGTAATCTCTTTCAAACACAGGAGAGTGGTGTTTTAAATCTAATTCTGTGCTTGTAATAATCATTAATGGAAACGATTTGGGTTCCGTTATAATTTAATGCGTGTTATTTACTATGGAAATGCTTCAACTGTCAGCTCTCATTTGTGGCCGATTAATGTCGGTTTAAAATTCATTCGCGTGAGAAAATAAATGTGGGATGGGTGTTTTCGCGTTTTTATGCACATTGTAAGGTGTTGTCAATGCGTTTGATTCATTTTATTTAGCATCCTAGATATAATTTGGGTTTTCTCGGATGAATTTTGAAAACTATATCAAAAATTGCATTAAAATGATGGGTGGTAAAATAGATCGGTACATGAAGTTCATTCTCTAGAAAAGAGAAGTAATCGAGAGAGATAAAGACGGCCCTTTTCCCGTGAATAAATACGAGAAATGAAATCGTCAATATTCTTCACTCAAAATGAAACGATAAACTCAAAACAGGGGAGATAATCCTCGAAAACACGTGAATATTTCCCAAACGATGTGTTTATTCTAGGTCATTTCCATAACGTTGAGAGAATGCTCTTCATTGATAACGTTGATTGAATGCTCATCGAAACGTCGCTGGTTTTTCTTTTCATAAGCATGTGTTATTGTGTATTGTGCTATCCAGTTAAAGCTGCAATTTCATATTTTTACGTTATATTTTTAAAATGTATTAAAATAAAGCCTTAAAATAGATGGTATCTATAAACAGTCCTACCTTGTTAAAGAATAATCCTATTAATCCTATAATTCACTAATGCCAGTTGAGAAACTATCATTTTCCTCTTCAAATTCAAACTTTTGAAGACAGCTACTACATGGTGGAGAATAGAAAACAAGGGAGGTAATTGGGAGGTAACTGTGTTATTATTTCCGGTGTAAATGAGTTTTAAGTGTGAGAATGACACCTATGGTCGTATAATAGTGAGTTGACAACCTATTGAGCAAAAGACATAGAAATAATTATGTTTTGACTTTCTTAGAAAATATGAAATTGTAACTTTAAATGCATCTAAACATATTACAATGTTGTGGAAGTTGAATCTCTAATAAGAATAGCAGCCCACAGATGGTTGTAATCCATTCTGTATCTACTAAGATATGATAAATTGAAAAATTTCAACGAGCTATGCCGTTCCCTATAAAAGGACGGTCGCCAAATTGATGGGCCTGTTTTAAATCCGAATAAATCAAATTCGGGAGATTATCTAGCGTTGGTATTTTGATTTTGTTAAATAATCAATCTGAGAACATATTAGCGTGGATTAAGCGGTCGTGAGAAATTTGATATTTTCACATAAATGCATGCTTTAGAGAAGATTGTTTTCCTTCGTATTTATTATAGCCTCTTTGACATTTTAAATTCTGTCAATAGTTGTTCACAATCAGAAAATACTTCCGCCACATGCGAGATTATTTAGTTCAGGTCCCGGTTGCACAAAACATTCCCAGACTGAAGTTAAGAACTAACTTAAAATTGTTCACCTTATTTTAACTAAAACATAGCCCTTTATTAAATTTTGTTGTTTTAATGTATCAAATACATCAATAAGGAACTATGTGCAAATTTTTGTGTTTCTGGATCAAAGAAATTTTTTTATAAACAGTGATTGAAAGTTGAGCAAATTCTTAATTTAATTCTGAGGATGCTCTGTGAAACCGGAACCAGATTAAAATTGGTTTATCCCTACCATAGATGCAAATGCTTTTCCCGAAAATATTCAACTATGGGCGCGGATGCATAGCTCTTACATAATGCATCTTTAATATTTTTAAAACTAGTAATACTAGTATAAAATCCAAGATATCAGCGTATAAAAACTAAAAATAATAATAATTTAAAAAAAAAGATAACCGACTCGCTCCAATCGGCTGCCTTTCTTTTCTCACATTTCTTTGTCGGAAATATTAGCCGTTTTCACTAATTGACTAGGCTTATATTATTCTGCGAACATATGAAATGAAAGTTGTCACAAACTATTTTAATACAACGTAAAAATAATAATAAATAAAATGCCGTTTTTCTCCAATTTTTCGTGCTTCTTTTCTCGGAAAAATCCCTCGAAACCTTCGTTCGCATCCTATCCTCCTTCAAAAAATTATGTATCCGCCCACTATCCCTTTTGTCAACTAGATCTATTTTACGGGGCCAAATGCACAATTTCGTCAAGGTCGCGGAGATTTAAACAAGGTTAGAGCGCGTGATTGTTGCCGATATTGTGGGTTAGGATTAGGGTAAGGCGTAGGGCTATGCATTGGGTTAGTGTTTGGGTTAGCGATAGCCCTGTTTACATCTCGTAATTATGCATTTATGTAATAAATTCCGGATCCGCCAAGTAGGCTGTTCAATTTCTTCGCTGGTTAACCGAATATTTTGGCATTAGAAGAGTGGTCTCCCTTTAGGAAATCGTCTCCGCATTCTCAAAATATTTTGTTTTAAAAAGAAATTGAGAATTAGAAAGTAAAAAAAAATCATAAAATATCAAAGACAACCACAGCAGAATCACGAATAAGTAATGGCTGACGCTAAAGAAGACAGTAATAGTTCGGTTGAGATGGAAAAAGCAGACGAAAGTCCAGTAGAAGACGTGAAGGAGGTAGTTATTGTGGACAGAAACGCGATTGACATCGATTTCAATCAGAGCAGAATAGCAAAGTTAGAAAATTTAGAAAATCTTCCTAACGTCGAAACTTTGTGTTTTCGTCAAAATCTTATAAAGAAAATTGAAGGTCTGGCTTCTCTGACAACCCTTACAGAATTGGATCTCTATGACAATCAACTAGAACATATCGAAAATCTCGAAACTTTAGTGAATTTAGAAGTTTTGGATTTATCATTCAACAGAATTAAAGTTATTCAAGGTATTGAATCATTGACAAAAATAAAAAAACTCTACTTAGTCAACAATAAAATCGAAAAAATTGAAGGAATCGGCAGTCAGACTGAATTGGAAATGCTGGAATTAGGTGCCAACCGAATAAGAGTTATAGAAAATTTGGATCATTTGACAAAGTTGCGTAGTTTGTTTATAGGGAAAAATAAGATCACTAAGTTGGAAGGTTTGGATAAATTAGTCCATTTGCAGTGTTTGAGTATACAGAGCAACCGAATATTAAAACTGGAAGGTCTGGATAATTTAGTTCATCTTGACGAACTGTACATTAGTCACAATGGAATAGAAGTTATAGAAGGACTCGATGGAAATACGCAGTTAACAACACTAGATTTAGCAAACAACAGGATAAAAAAAATAGAAAATATCTCGCAGCTAACAGAATTGGCAGAATTCTGGTTTAATGACAACCAAGTTGATTCGTGGAATGAAATTGACCATCTTCAAGCATTACCAAATCTGGAGACAGTTTACATGGAACGAAATCCAATCTGGTATGGGGAGGATGGTAAAATCTGTCCAGATTACAGGAGAAAAATAATTCTTGCTTTACCAAAGCTGAAGCAATTAGATGCCACACTTCTTAGATAAACTTACCGGTTCATTAAATTAGTTAAACTTGTTATTACCACAACATAGTGAATATTTTATGCATATAATCAAAATGCAATCAAGCCACATTATCTATCAATCATCATCAGTTTAATTAACATCATTCTGTTCCATGGTAATTTTTGGTTCATTACTCAACCTTATCCTGGTTCTAAAGACATTTCTTTGTTAGGTGCATTCAGTTGTGCACAGATTGTGATTGGTCAACACTATGTCAACTTACCAATCAAATTCGGTTATTTGGATGTCCAAGAACATGCTTTTCGTTAACATGGCTTTAATATATAGATGCTAATGAAGTGCACAATGGAACAAGAATAACATCTGATAGATTTCATCTGTCGTAGGATATCACTGCTTCATTCATTCATTTATAAACAATTTGGTTTTTACTTTGAAATGTTTCACTTATGGAGTTTCTGTCAATAGGACTATGTTATATAATATATTGTGATCTTTAGTGAGGCTAGGATATTCAACAATATAACTTCAACACCGTTCTAATCTATGCTTGAAGAAAATGGCGAGAGGTGATGATTCATATCATTTTATCATTAAAATTAAATAGGCCTACTAATGCATTGAAAAGTAATAAAATTAAATCATTAAAACTTTAGGATAGTTCATAAGGATTGGTTTTCATTAGACTATAGTAGAGTACCAGGCGGTATACCAATGCATGGTTATGGGAAAAATCCCATTAAGTTTCAAAATTCTGGATCGCAAGTTTCGAACATATTTTGTTGTTTCATATTTCCAGTCCTACATGTAGTGTACCTTTGAAAGCTTGTGAACCAATCTCCATGCAAGTCTCACTCGCTATGTGAACTGCACAGGAATACAACTCTACTTGGGAGAATGCTTGTGAACACAATATAACACAAAGTTATCAGCAGATCAGAAAGAACCCTATCAGAATTTGGAATTTTTATCCTATGATACACAAAGTTCAGGTTCTCAAAGATTGTTTTTAAACTGTGAGGTTGCTGATTGTTCATAAAATCATTGTGGTAAAAGATCAATGCAAAATTTTCAGATTTTAGTGGCTGGTGGACATAAATTATACAGTAAATTGAGCCAAAGGGCACTTATCCCAGTTTACTTTTGCAATGAAATAGATGTCAATATTAATTTTATGTATAGTGTAATCCTTTAGCAGCATTTGGTGATTGAAAACATAACAAAACTACATGGTTATACACAAGCATGCACCGTTGCTGTCCCATATAACTTTACTGTGTAGTTTTGATATGTATAGTGTAGTTGGGAATTGCAATGAGTTATTAGTAATCACATGCAGTTGACAATGTTTATTTGTTGTAGTTGTAGTTATAAGTTTTTGAAGTGATGATCTTAATGTCTTCCACTGTTTTTGTCCTGTGAAAACTAGTGCACAGAATTTGTTCAAAATGTCCATTTTCTTCTTAGGTTCAATTGAATAATACATAATGCCACCAAACTTTTTAAAAATTTCATCCAAAAGATTTTCCTTTTTGGGGGAGGGGGGCTTGGATGGCCGCATGTTAGCATGTGCGCATTGTGTCATAAGGTACATGTATGTCATTGAGAACTGGCGTGGTTTCGATTATTCGGTTGCACGTGACAAGGAGTAGGGTCGTCTGTCCAACCTCGTGGGTCCTCCGGTTTCCTCCTATGCGCAAGCGAATTATTGGATTAAAATTAAACCATGTTATTCCCGAAATGACCTGGTTTATGTCAAATGGACCTTAAACCCCATTTCTCTCTCTTTCTTCCTTTTTTGGCATTCTCAAGCAATAAAATTAAAAATTAAAATGGATTTTATGATTTATGGAGTTATTTCCCCTTACACATTCATATGAATTTACTTTAGCGAATAATTAATACCTTATTAAATATTTATTAAAAATTGTTTGTAATTGGAATTTAAAGATGCAATAAAAGTTTAATCTGACTCTCAATACATGTATTTAAATCTTCTAGTCGAAAATTGCGACTTTAAATTAATGCTGTATCACTACCAACATCGTCAATTGCATTTGTCGGGCAGTAACTCATTTTTTAAAGCCTAATCCTTGCTGAAATTTACTCAAATTGGAAACTAAGATTAAAATATGGATGATAGATAAATTTTTGACTTGGATTCAATAAGATTTAAAAAGAGGCCTGATTTGGATTCAATAAGATTTAAAAATAGGCCTGTGAAAGCTTGTGTGGACCATATCTTATACATTGTCTGTACTTGTACGATTGAGCCATTTTTGGCCTGATATTCTATTTATAGATTCAACTTTCACAATATTGTATTTTTCTCGGGTTTAAAAATCCCTCAATTGGATTAAAACACAGATCCTATTTCGTTACGTTTTCTATAGTTCAAAATTTCGTTTTACTTGTCTTCACTACACTAGGATCTGGAGGAATTGTTATATAACCTGTGTTCTGATTGATGTGAGGGATTGGCCAATGAAGTTCGTTCTATGAGTGGGTATCCCACTAGAAACATCAACGCTGATGGGTTAATCAAATATCTGACATCATAGGGCCAAAAGCCACTCGTATGACCCCGACACAACCTCCCACTACAACCAGTCAGAACCTCATGTAGTGGAGGTTGTCGAACGTATAAAAAAAAACGAAACGAAATATGGATCTCTATTTTAATCAGATTGAAAAATTGCTCTAATTACAATCTGAGAATTGAATGTATTTAGCGTGTATATCATTTTACATACAAACACTTTGTTGAATAATTACAATTAAATAACTGCTTAATTCAAATGGCTTGTGTTTATATTACCAGCAGTGGATGGCAATTTTGACACATTGCAGATCATCATATCTTTGAATGGAAGCATAATTGGACTGATAAGTGATATTCCATTTGTAGATTCAATTTTTACAATATTGAAGTTTGCACCAGATTTAAAATCCCTCAAATGAGGATCAGAGATTTTAATAATTTCACTTGAGTTCCTATAATATAAATTGAAATATGGCGTTCCATAATTAATTACCCATTCATACAATTGTGCTTTAGAATTCTAACCTTTAACTTTTCATCCCATCTGTATGGCTGGGTACTTTTCTTGCCAGGCCCTCTGTCCTACACAACTGACATGGGGGGGGGGGAACCACACAGGAAAATCCAAGGTAATGTTTTTGACCAACACTGGGATCGAACTGGTTCGTGAGCCAGTGTCTTGCTCATTGCCCAATGATACTTTTTTTAATTGAGTCTAGAAGTCTTGTAAAATCCAGGTTCGATTTCGTACTAGATATTAATTAATTTTAATTGTTGTTATCTTTTTTGTGTATTTCTACAGTTAAATTTAAATGAAATAATTTTCATAACACACATGTATAGATGTTAACAAATATAGTTAATGTAGAATAAAATATTTCTAACAGATTTTAATTGTTCTTGACCTAACTAAAAATAACTGTCAGTGTCACATGTTAACGGTTATTCAAATTATTTTTTTGATTAAAATTTTAAAGTTTTCGTATAGTGCCATGGCGGGGGTATTGGGTTTTTTCCAGACAGCAGGCGTTTTTGTGTACGGTACTCTTTATCAAATTCTATTTTTCAAAACGCACGACTAGACACAGTTCCTTGCTAGGCCCATTCATTCTGACAAATCCAAACCATGCAGGTAAAATCCTGGTGTAGAGAGCCAATGACTTACTCGCTGAGCCAAAGTGGTTCCACACGTTCTTGGTAGAAAGTATCCTAGCAGTCATTTACAGATTAAGGCAGGACACTACATGTACCTTATAAAACACTCTGTATAGATTGATCTGTCAAATTTTGATATCAGCTAAAATTGCCCAAAAAAGTTAAAATTTGTTGATTTTTCAAGTCGTGTCCAGCCTTTATATTATATAGTGTTAAATATTTAGTCATTTGTATAGGTAAATCAAATTTTTAACTTTTAACTTGCTTTTTTCCGTACTCAATTTTTCACCCATATCAGGTCTTAGAAAATCAAATTCTCAAAATCTATGAGAGATAATAGTCTCATCTTTGGAATACGATTAGTGTTATAGCTACTGTTTGCAATAAGGTGATTTTCAAAGTGTTTCTTATACATTTGGACATTTTATTGTACAAAATCCTTTTAGTGGTGTGTTCGGCCACACCCACTTGTTTTATGTGGGATGCATAATGTTCTTTATTAACATTCAAATAGTAAAATTTATGCCTATATATGTTATTCCAAATCACAAATAGTTTGTTTCAATAAAATTGTTGAAGATTTTGATTTCCTAACATAGCCACCGTGAATATATAAAAAAATCCAATATGGCCACCATTTCCATGACAACAAATAAACATTTTGCGCTCAAATTATCAAATCTGATTTGGGACATCATATACTAATATTACACTAAATGGCAAGTTTCTGTTATCAATGTAAAATTCTTAGGTAGTGTCCTGCCTTAATAAAGAGAGACATGGGGTTTAACATTTACTTCATACAAACTAGGTCAGTCGATCTGCTGTCAAGCTTATTGCAATTGGTTGATAAAAATAGCACAATTATCAAGGGTAGATAATTTGAATGTGTCTTCCCCATGGATAAACCCAGGTTATTAATAGTGGAGTAGAACGGAATAAGACCACTGGGGATGGTTCAGCAGGGACTACTCTATCTATTCCACTTGTATTAGCTTTACATCTTGCTTAATATTGTTAGGTTTTCGAATCAGACAAAAATCAAATGGGTTTAGCATCCTACTGTTCTGCTCTGACTGGAATAATGAATATAGGCATACACCATACAGTGTGCTATGAGGAAAATTTTGCCAGGCCAACGGCACTAAGGCCTACTCTTATATCGAATTCCAACTGCTAAGGGATCTTTTACGTGCACATCAATGTGTACATGTAACATTGTTTTTTTTGTTCCATCCAAATGACGATACATTGTCCCTTACCAGGTCCTCTGTCCTGCACCACTGACATGGGGGAACCATGCTGGAAAATCCTGATGAACTTTCTTGACCAACACAGGGATCGAACCTGAACCACCCTGGCTCCTCCGCATGTATAAGCTTTTAATCTAGCCAATCATATGCTAATCTTTGAAGAGAGTGCTGCTGTTCACCCATTCCCCACCCCTGTATTGTAAATTATAATACTGTATAATGACAATGGTATGAAACATAACATTTTATTGTATATATATATAAAAACATAGAAGATACAAATAGTAAAATAAAGTTAATACATCACTTATAAAAAGAAAATATAAAACAATTTGTTATTAACTTTGAAAATTTTACCCAACACAATGACTAGATTAACTTACTCTTTAGTCCTAAAATAAATCTTAACTAATAGAAATAACTAATTTTTTTTCTTTAGAACGTGGACTTCAAATTACCAAATAAAACAATCAGCTCTGATTTTTTTAATAAAAAAATTTCTTATAAATATGATACTTGGATAAACTTCTGGAATCTTGAAATTCCATGTTTAAATGAGAAAACGTAGGAGGTTCCGGCTACTTGATATCAATAAGTTATGCAATTAGGAGTTAAAGCTGATATAGGCTTAACCAAGACAGAGGATTCAGGTAAAGGGTGAATTACTTAAAAAGCACCAGTTAAAATGTAGCACCACTAATGTGAAACTTATAGAATATAAAATATTCAATATTTTGTACACTAGCTAAAACCTAAGGAAATAAAGTTTTAATCAAATACACACAGAAAAAAATGAATGGTATAGAATGAAATGTCTCATTTTTGGGTACTTTGAGCACTGACGATAGTGTTGCAAGGGAGAAAACTCAATTTTGAATATTGGGTCATGGGATTGTTCACTTTGAGACCGAAATAAAGCGAGTTTTAAAGTAATAGTTATAATAGCACATTCTATCATAATTTGAACTTTGAAGTATCAACATTTTTTAAGAATATATCAGGATTTGCTACAAGAAAACTATTGGTGTGTTTACTTGCAGAGTGAGGCGATTAAACGATTTGAACGAGTAGCCATTACTTCTGGACATTATTGAAAATGTTCAAGGGATTTAGGATAAAACTCCAATTGTAAATTTGCAAAAAGAAAATGGAACCAAAATGCGGAAAAGATGGCAAATGATCAAGAGTAGTTATAGAAAGGACAACAAAATTTTCTATATCTCTTCAGTCATGATTACCCAGACTCAAAAAAGGAAATCAGCTTGAAAACAGTTCTATAGGTGGTGCAAAAATAACTCAAGCAACCAATAGACCTAAAGCTAATCATGCTGTGTGCATCATGGCCAAATTCAGATATACTGCATTATTTTTTCTTATTATCTTTCAAAAATTTGAGCGATTAATTAAGCGTGTGAACAAGTATGGAGTAGTTAGCTGCGTCTTGTACCAAACCCTGACAAATCAAATTATTATTGTAATTTTCAGGAAATGTTTTTAGATAAATAAGTCGTTGATTTAACCTAATGTTAAAAGAAAACCATGCCTTAATGGTGGATTAGTTATGATTAAATTATTTTTATCTTGAAATAAAGATTTCTTTAAAGTCTTATGATTTTTTACAAAATATTCTAACAAAAAAAAAACGATCTCCCCTTTTCAATTACTGGGGTCAGTGCTGTTTACCAGTAACAACAAGACTTTTTGAAAGACTGTCTGATCACAGTAAAGTAATGCCTAGATTTTATGACAATAAAACAAAGTCTAAACCAACTGTTTGACCTTCTCTTGTTTGATCACAGCAAAGTTAATGCTTAGATTGTTTGACTATAAGACAAAGTCTACATCAACTGTTTGACCTTCTCGAATATGTATAATATGTGACTGGTTAATGCCGTCTATGTGTGATCTAGCTGATACAGAGTAGGAACCAGGTGGTATGATCATGTGAACATCTTCTTGTGGATATGACTACAAAATAAAAACAATAATTATATATCTACGACTGATAAACCAAGTGAAATGGGGTTTAATGTCCTACTGTTCTGCTCCCACTGGACTGATGAAGACAGGCATACACCATACAGTGGGCTATGAGAACAGCCTACTCTTATTTCAAATTCTAGCTGTCAAGGGTTCTTTTTAGGCCCTCCGATCTGCACCACTGACAAGGGGGAACCAAGCCAGAAAATATCTATATACTTTCTCGCCCAACACCAGGATCGAATACAGGACCTCCTGGTTAGCGAGCAAGTGTCTTACTCGCTAACAAAAAGCAAACAGATTATCAATAGATACTACTCACCTGTTCAATTTTATACGCATTACTATGATGAAATCTACAGCAGTGGGAAATATCCTGTCTTGACGGACATACACAACTTCTATAATATTTCTGGAAATAGACATTTTATGAATTTGAGAAAAAATAAAAAGCAAGGAAAACATTTTATAGATTAATTAAAACAATATTTATGGATAATGATTACTATGGTTTATAATACTGTGACTTTTAACATGAGCCCAAAGTTGATATCAAGCATATATTGGGGAAAATCAATTATACCATCTGGAATTGAATTCTCTAAATCTAAAAAAACTGTGACAATCGAGTGAAAAGGGTGGATTTCGGGCCACAATCCATGCGCTGAACGCATAAGAAAGAGGCAGAGAAATGGGGTTTAACTTCCAATCGACAAATTAGGTCATTTCGTGACTAACATGGTTCATCTTTATTTCAATAATTCTCTTGTGTGCAGTGGTCTAAACTTGAATCAAACTAGGTCATTTCGGGACTACCACATTGTTCAATTTTATTCCAATACTCCTTGTCACATACAACCAGGGAATCGAAACACCGCCAGTTGACTCAATGACAGACCTTATGATACAGCGCGCACATGCTAACCATTCGGCCATCACCCCCCCCTAACCTGTTGTTGTAACTGGCAGAACTGTTGACGGGACTGCATTCCGCATCACTTGACTGCAATTCTGTCAATTCAGAATGTTCCAGACTGACAATCTAGCATCCCTATATACACACAAATAGTAATTTGTAACGCTATTAACATTTCAGATCAGGGTCAAGAATAATTAATGATACATTATGTAAGATTTAGATAAAGAGCTAGCCATTCTTGCTATAACAGTTTGAAAATAGATAATGTAAAATGAATAATTTGAAAATTCCATTCAAATTATTCTATTGTGAGCGAAGATATTAGCCTTTGAAGGTTTGACAAGACATGTGCAATAATTTCAATAGTGTTGAAACTACTATTCGGATATTCGCTAACGGATACAAAATAAGGGTTATCCGAATCATTTTACTATCCGTTTACTATTCGTTACATTATATTCTGACATTTCGTATGCTCTATATTTAGCCATTTTTACATCTCATCTGATTACTTTGAAATTTTCCCCAATGCAATTGATCACGTACGCAGCTCTGAGCATAATTAATGTCAACATTATGCGTATTATTTAGTGATAGTAACTAATAAAATTATTAATGCAGTGCAACGAAAACTGTAGTCTAAATAAAAAAAATATTCATTCATTCCCTGCGCTAGTTTACGGCATACACAAGTTTAGACCGTGTTTTGACTTCCCGCAATGAATCTATTCATAACGACCTAGGTCACCTATGTTCCCACTCACTGATTGGTTCAATAGTAGTAGATTATCAGAATGAGGCAAACAACATTGGCGGAATAAATGGCACATGTTTTTATTTTACTTTTTTCATTCGTGTTGATTGAGCAAAATGATAAGTGGGAGGGTGCGGATTACAGGAGTAGTTATACTATACAAATTTCTTCACCTGATTGATTTTTTGGGATGTCATAGATAGTCTTAATAATTACGGCTAAAGGTAGGCACGTTTTTTTCTTTGCGGCTCAAACAATTTGCAAATCGAAAGTACGATTTCATACTCGGCATACACAGACACTCATAAACATTGAAACAAGTAAGAAATTATAAGTACTGGTATATGAACTTTTGATGTAATTTTGTTCAAGAACTTCACGTCTCTGAATTATCCGAATAGTATTCGGATAGCCAACAAAAGTATTCGGATCACAAATCTCGATCCGATTTTCAACACTAAATTTCAACCACCGTACTGGTTGTTCGTAGCTAAGTCTCACTCCTCCATTTTTAGCTTAAATCAAAATATGACTGAACTGTTCTAATCTATTTAATATCAGAGAAATCCGATGCCATCGAGAGTTGATTATGGTCTGGATAAGTTAATAAATGTCTAATTAATAATTTAAATAACATTTCAGGCCTAAAGAAAGGCCTGCAATAGGCAGATTTAGCTCTTGCATAATGTATGTTTAAAATGTTTAACAAATTAATGCATACTAAACTTGCGCTGTCTTCCAACAATTAGCTCTGCTTAGGAACAGAGAATAAGCTAGCTGACCACCATTTTAATTCAGAAATCCATGATTTTAGTCATAAACAATAAATACTTTTCTAGAATGTTTTGAGAAGTATTTATTCCGTTTCCACTCAATGGAATTGAAAAGGTATATTTAGTCTTTAAGAGTATGACAGATGTGAATTAGAGTAGAACTGCATTACAAAATAGTATACTTATATTGCCCCCATTCAGGGCAGAGATCTATTCTTAACGCAGGATTGTTGGCATGCACTTAAAAGAACCCTTAACAGTTGGAATTCAATAAGGAGTAAACGAAAATGTATGACGTATGCCCGACTTAATTGAGAAATGAAATGAGGTTCAACGTCCTACTGTTCTGCTCCGACTGGGAAATTTTGCCCGGGCAGCAGCACTATGGACCTATATAGAATTCCAACTGCTAAGGGATCTTTTACATGCACAAAAAGTATATATACCGGACCTCAGTTTCTCGTACCATCCGAACGACTAAACAGCTGTCTTTGTCAGGCCCTCTGTTCTGCACCACTGACAAGGGGAAACCATGTTGGAAAATCCCTATGAACAATATCGTTCCAATGCTGGGAGCGAACATGCGACCACCAGACTAGTGAGGCAGCATCTTACCCACTTAACCACTGTGGCTCCAACTTAATGGAGCAAATTGATGCAGAAAAGTAGGACGTTAAAGTCTATTTCATTTCACTAGTTGTTAATCAGGAAGCAACTGTTACATGTCATTATACAATATTTTAAAATGATCCCACTATACCTGACAAGACCGTGTTGTAGTAGATAAATAATCCTGTATTGATGAAAAAGCTTCTTCCAAAGATGTAAATTTAGGACTAGGAGGACTTTTCTGTAATAAAAAAAAATTGAGTTCAATTACATACATGTCCACAAGAACCTGGTGCAATAAGTTTACATAGAATTATACAAGAGCTAAACTTGCCTATAGTTAGGCAATCGCTGGTTAAAATTATTATATAAATTATTATGTAGAAATTTATTCTCATTACAAGCCCATAATCAACTCACCAGACCACAGAATGGCTTAGATGTTGAGCAGATTAGACAATGATCTGGATCATATCTGCTTTCAAAGCTAATATGGTCGGAAAATTCGATAAAAAGACGGAAAATTGAGACTTTTATTATCATCCCAATGGTTGACAATATGAACTGTGACCAGAGTTTCCATCTGTTACATAACTTCGCTCAGAAAAAAAGTAATTTGACTGAAATTTGCAATATATATTTCAATATTTATTTTTGAATTGTTATATACCGGTACAAAGATACATATCAGAGATTCGGGGTAAGGAAATTTAGTTTCAATTGCGAGTTTCAGTGACCAACAAATTAACTTATACATCTATGGGACAATCGATGTTTGCTTCTGCTGCATCGATTCAACAGGTATTACTTGATGGTTGATGTAAGGACTAACATTAATTATGATAAAATAATTCCAACACAAAAGTTTAAGGGAAAATAAAGAAAACCCTGAAGATTACCATTTTTTGTTTTTGTTTACAATCTGGCCAGTCAACCTGCCTTCGTCGCGCTCTGTAATAAACATCATTTCCTAGAGTTGCTGCCCTTTCTAAAGTATTTCTGGCCCATTCTTCTCTCTCCATTTTGATTACTAATTATACTTACAGATTCTTCCTAAAAAAATAAAAATTATGGTACATGTAGGCTATGTGAAATGTGTCCATCAAACTTACATCATGAAGGGGTGGAGTCACAATGACGCACTGGTTAAACCAGGCGTTCACTCCCATGTTCGATCTCGGTATTGACCGAGAATGTTTCTAAGATGTTCCAGAGTGGATTTCCCTAGACGTGATATAAGGCAAGGAACAGTTACGTTTCTAGTTGTTCGGTTGGGATGAAAAGAATTAGGTCCTGTACGGTGTGCACATAAATGAACCCTTGATACATGGAAAAATCCAAATCCAATTGCTGTCAATGACCACAGGAAGTACCGTACCATTAACAATTGCCAACTTGATGTACAAGGTACATGTACGAAAATGCAGTAGGTACATGTAGTAGCACAACCTATAAAATAACTATCTTTATTAATTTATTATCCATATTTTGACCCCGTCCATCATCATATTTTAAGGTGATTATATGTTTGATCCAACTTTCTTTTTTATCAACGATATTTCAACATAATATTTTAGGGGATATGAGTTAAAATGTGAGGTTCAGTATTTTTTTTTTGCCAGGGGGGAGGGAGTTGGATCAAACATAAACGCCGATTTTAAAATTATTTTGTCTGCGTTCTGAATCAAGACTATCATTTTTTAGATATCTGAACGGAATATAGCCATTTTAGACAGATCAATGTTCATTTTAAAGTAGCTAAGTCTCTAACTAAAACTCAATATCACCCCAAGTCTTCGACATTGAAAACACAAACCATTTGTCAATTTAAGTCAACACTGATGTTGTAATCTTACCGGGAAAGAAAATATGGGATTCTGTTCTGATATCCAATATTTAAGACAAAATAAACACGAATCGTGTACCATAATGTGTTTCAGTGCTATTTGTAACAAGGGACTCGAAGAACGAGGTTAGACATATTCCACAAGTCATGTCAAACGATGATGCCCTATTCTTATCTGTAGAGTATGCTCCATAAATACTATCGGTGTAGACTGGAATAACCAGATGCTAGAGACTGCCATTCGATTGAGGCTTCTGGCGTATTTCGACAAACATAACTGATTTGAAATTAGAGTAAAAACCGAAACGATTGAATGTGAATCAGTTTATATACATTCATATTACATTATATATATGCAACCTATTTGTGTCGATTTCTAGCCCTAGCCTAGATCCCAAATTATTAGCGATTTAGCTCCTTTAAGTATTCAACTTTCACACAATTGTTGTTTGCAAATGATTAACAGTGTCTTAAATGAAGTTTATAGAGTCTTTAGTTTAATTCTTAAAAGCAACACCACACGGACCTCTCGGGGAGGTCCTTATTGCTATTTTGACTTCAACTTTTTTTTGTTTTGAATAATTGCAAGTTTTGTTCACAATTTTCTCTCCCAAAAATTGTTTTAGGACGGTTGAAATATAGATATGTTGTATTCGATCTTTTAAATCCCCTCACTAACAATCAATTAAATTATGTGTTTAAGACATTATTTAATTTCTAAAGATGTTCTACTTTGCTTGATTTTTTGTCATCACAATCTTCAAATTTTCCGCATACCGTTGTGTCCGCTTCTGCGCATGTCAACGGTAAAGAGAGTTACGTACCTTGTTTGATTTCTTGTGTCTCGATTATCCACATACAGTAATTTCTCCCACCAACATGCTGGTTCATTAATTTCGCGCCTTTCCCAACCGTAATGCACCAATGTTACATGAATAAAAATAACGTCTTCTGAAGAAAAAAAAAAAAAAAAAAAAAAAAAAATGAACGATTACTTTTATGTCGCATTCTGTTAAAGTAGCCCTGGGAAAAAGATCGTGTCTTTTTTTTTTTTTTTACCACAAAAGACTTTTTAGCTAGGCCCTATCATCGAACAGTTTATTAAATGGTTCTAAAATTCGGTGTGATAGGCTATATGAAATAAAAAAATAATATTATATAGGCCAAGGATCCGGTAAGAGGCATTGAACGCGGGAGTCTACGAGACAAAATTGTGAGGTGCTTTATTTATGGAGATAACAAATTGTTCCGGGTTGTATTATTTTAATCACACTAAACTGCAATCATGTCGGATTTTACTGTTAATTAGCATAGGCCTGAAGTGTTAATAAAGTGGAAGAAACTTTAATGATTTTCAAAATTAATGGACTTTCCGTTCTGATTTCAACATGCAAGTCTTGTAATATGAATAAACCTTGTAATTCATTTTATACTAAAAATAATCTCAACATAATGTAAAGCGGCCAGGGCACGTATTAACCATATTATTAGGCAAATAAGGCACGTGCCTTATATTAGGGCCAGCCAAAAATCCTGGGCCCTGTTTCACGAAATTTTAACTAAAGATAAAATTCAAATTTTAGTAGATACTTCAATTTTGATTGGCTAAACACTAAAATCAATCTAATATTATCCAATCAAATTACTAAAATTTGGATTTTATCTTAGTTAAAATTTCGTGAAACAGGCCCCAGGCCACAAAAAAATATAAAGTAAGAAAAAGTTGTAATCTAGTCACTGTAAACTTATAGTCTAGGCCCTATAGTAATGACAGTACTGTAAAAAAATGGTTCCGATTTTTTATTTTGTAATAAATTTTCTGCTGTTCAATTTCACTGTCTTCCTTTTATCAGTGAACCCAAAATATCCGTCTTTTCAGACCACCTATCAAAAGCCAACGGATTGACAATGCTGTGGATTAGAATGTTGGATAGAATGTGTATACCGTTGCCAGCCACATCAAATATTTGCACAGGGTCTTATCCCGGTTGGAACTGACGTGCCATAAAACATCCATTTCATTTCATGGAATTTCTAAAACATATAGGAGTCGCGTTAGCTCAGTGGATAAGACGTTGGCTCACTAACCTAGATGTCCCTTGTTCGGTCCCGGTGTTGGCTGAGAAAGCTTAAGTGGATCAGGACGGAAGGCCTGGCAAGTAACAACGTAAAGTCAGTCGTTCGGATGTGAGGAAAAATCGGCCTTGTACCAGTGCCGGATTAACCTTGTGGGGGGCCCGGGACATACCATCTGTGCGGGGGCCCCATTGTTGTTTGTTCAAATTGTTCGTACTGACCGTGGATCGTACTAGTATGTACTCCGTCCGCCCTCTTGAGTGTCTGGGGTGTTTTCTTCCAGGAATTTTTTTTCAAAATTAGGATTAATTTCAGTGCATATGAGACTATTAAGGCAGCGATTTCCTGGGCCCCCGAAAATCTGTTGGTACCTACCAGTCCCGGGGACCCTAATATCCCTTACTACCCAGGGCCCCAATCCTCGCCCCCTCAGCCCAGGTACTGGTTGGCTCCGTCCGGGATAAAATATTAGTATGACCCAGAATTATGGGGGGGGGGCTGAATGTGGGAGCCCGGGACATTTGTCCCACTTTGCCCCCTAGATCCGATACTGTCTTGTACACATACGCATAGGGGGCCTAAACAGTTCTAAAAGAACCCCTGGAATTCGAAATAAAAGTAGACCGTAGTGACACTGTCCGGGCAAAATTTCCCTCATAGCAAACAGTATGGCGATGTAGAACAATAGGGCGTTAACCCCCATTTCTTTTCATTTCTAAAGAATATGACGCCAATACTCCGCATGAAAATGAATGAGATATGAAGGTTAAATTAATACTTCATGCCGTATCCAATTTTTAATGAGAGAGAAATGGGGTTTAACGTCCACTCGACACAAACTAGGTCATTTCGGGACTAACATAATGGTTTAACTTTATTTCAATAATTCGCTTGCGCGTAGTGGTCTTTAGCAGTGGGAGGAAACCGGAAGACCCACGAGGTTGGACAGGCGACCGTGGATTCAATTTTTAATGAATGATCATACTACTTACAGCTTTTCCGTTAAACATGTCGTGTCGTTACTGCAAACATGTATAAAATGCAACGATTGAGCATAATCTTAAATTCTCTATCAACGTCTGGATGAACTTCGATCTCCAATTTAATTACGTCGCTGATAAATTTTATATTAAGGCACAGTGTATTGTAGTTAAATTATGATTCATCTCCGGTCAGAATCCAAGTACTTTATTGAAATATATATACATAACATTTCTCAGAAAAACAGATATATTCGCGCGATCTGTTATCACTATCGTAACGGTCCTTTAGGATATCAAATGTCACAGCCAGGGGCGGACTTACTTGTGAGCTCTCAAATTTATAGAATTGTTGGCATGTTTCAGTATCCGATATATAAAACTTTTTACTGTAATTTTGTTGCAATGGCCAAATGTCTATACTTATTGTACAGGAGTCCATACTCCGGGCCCTATACTTCATGTACAGGGAGAGTCTCGGTGGCTTAGTGAGTAAGACACTGGCTTGCTAGCAAGAAGGTCGCGGGTTCGCTCCCAGTGTTGGTCGGGATTTTCCGGCGTGGCTTCCCCTTGTCAGTGGTGTGAACCCGAGGGCCTGACACGGACGACAGTCTAGTCCATGGGATGAGACGAAAAACCGAGGTCCCGTGTACACATTGGCGTACACTTAAAAGATCCATTGGCAGTTGGAATTCGATTGGCAGGGATGGTCAGCAATATTAAAGACCTTGGTTATTCTAATGCCGTGTTCTTACTTTGTCAGGGGGATAACCAGGAATACCAGGCCCAGGTTTCACAATCATGCTTAACTTTCAATCCCTGTTATGAGAAATATCTTTGACTCAGAAACACAAAACGTTTTTTTCATATAGGTTCTATTTGACGTAGTTGAAACACCGAAACAGCAAACGATTTAAAAGGGGCAATATTTAAGTTAAAATAAGGCGAACAATTTTGAGTAAATTCTTAACTTAAAGATACATTATGTAAGATTTAGATAAAGAGCTAGCCATTCTTGCTATAATAGTTTTATTACATTCTATCATCTGTTTGTCATCTATTAGTAAGTGCGGAAGGGCCACACTACACGCAAAACAAAACCGATAAGACAAACCCACGGACAAGAAAACCCACATAGGCATTGCAATAAGCAACAAATATCAAATCAAGTGAATGGATGTATGTTATTAGTTGTGTGGGTTGTGTGGGTTTTTCTTTTATAAAAAGGATAATAGGTTATGATATGTAAAACTATTTATTATTGTATAATCAACACGACTCACCGATTTCTTATATGACAAACACACGATTGAGTTAAAACATTCGGACTTTGTCACAGTCACCCGGGCGGCCCGACCCGTCTTATTATTATTCATAATAATGAAAGCGTGGTGTTATTGTTATATTTTCATTAATTGTCCGGGGGCCGCAGTGGCTGAGCGAGTAAGGCACTGGCTTGGTAACCAGGTGGCCCCGAGTCAGCTACCTGAGGACATGCACATTGATTACTTTCGATATATACTATTCAAAAAAAGTAGGGGATATTTGATTTTCGGGGCATAATACTAAAATATGCAAATGACTACGAAAAAAGTCACTATAGAACCTAACAGAAGAAACATTTCCAGTTACATGTGACGCCCAAACGCACCAATAGCTACCGCATGGAATGCAGGTGATGCTTGGGATCATCATGGGGGTCCAACCCAAGATTTGCACGACTCTGACTTTGAATGTTACAGTCATTGTGGCATTGAATTCCAGGGTGGAAACATCAGTTTAATTGTTTTAGTGACCAGAAAACAAATTTTGATATGCGTCGGCTTACCCAAAATGAAAGGTTACGTGCCCTTGGCATGCTACAGATCGGCACAACACAGGCGGTTGTGGCGCGGACGATGAATGTTTCTCAGTCTGTCATAAGCAGGCTATGGTCCAGATACCGTGATACACAATCTGTACAAGACAGACCACGCTCAGGTCGACCAAGGGCGACAACTCAAGCCCAGGATCGATTTATCCGTACCTTGGCCTTGAGAAATCGTGTCATCACAGCAAATCAGATCAGCGCTCGTCTTCAAACAGACACTGGTGTGAGAGTGAGTGGCCAGACGATTCGGAATCGACTGCATAGGGGTCACCTTCGCGCCCGACGTCCTCGCGTGATCCCTTGTTTGAGAGATCATCACATTCAGGCAAGACGTCGTTGGTGTAGGGATCGTCAACACTGGGATAATCGACGCTGGAGCAATGTGATGTTTTCAGATGAGTCAAGGTTCACTGTTGATTTTTTGGACAGACGTAGGAGGGTGTGGCGTCGTCGAAACGAGCGCTTCCAAGACGTTAACGTCATCAGACATGATCGATTTGGGGGTGGTTCTGTTATGGTGTGGGGAGGCATCACTGTTGCTGGAAGAACGGCTTTACATGTTGTTGCAGGGCGTGTTACAGGCCAGTACTACCGGGACAACATCTTGGCAGTCCATGTTGTGCCGTTCGCACGACGTCATGGCCGCCGTTTCATCTTCCAGGATGACAACGCAAGATGTCACAGGGCCAGGATCGTTACAGGTTACATCCAACAACAGAACATCACCACATTACCTTGGCCAGCACTGAGTCCCGACCTCTCCCCCATCGAGCATGTCTGGGACATGCTTGGACAGAGGTTACGTCAACGTCAACAACGTCCTGCCAATGTTCAAGAACTTGCTGCTGCGTTGCAACAGGAATGGGACAATCTGGACCAAAATGACCTTAGACGTCTCATTAGGAGTATGCCACGTCGGATCAATGCTTGTTTGGCAAACAGAGGAGGATTTACCCGTTACTGACTTGGTTGTGATGCTGTGGTAACTTTTCTGTTTGACCCCGGGTATCATTTTACCCTTATAATGGTCAGTCTGTGCCTTACTTAGTCTAACGATCATTTGGAATAAATCGATGAATGTGAACTTCATTTCATTTTGTCATTTGTTTCTTCGTCAGTTTCATTAGGTGACTTTAATAACACTTAAAAATCAAATATCCCCTACTTTTTTTGAATAGTATATTATAGCCAAATACATTGAAAAACAAAAACTCAACCTTAATATACACGTAGGCCTACCACAATCAGAAAGACCCGGGAGTGCACCGACTGTAGGGTGTCCGAAGGTCAGGTCTAAATATTAAGGCCACCTGCAGATTTCATCAAGGCCACGAGATGTAAACAGGGTTAAAGCACGTGATTGTGGTCGAGGATTGTGGGTTAGGGTTAGCGCTAGACCTTTTTACATCTCGTGTGCATGAGGAAATCTGCAGACAGGTCCGTAACTAGGGGGAGGGGGAGACAGGGAGGGCAAAGCCCCCCACCCCCCTGCAGAAAGTTTCGCCCCCACCCCCCTGTGAAAAAGTTGTCGACCATATCTAGACCTAACCTTCGGAGAGTCTGTAACCGTCTTGTAACGCTTAACATCAACCGTTCATAACTAATGAATAGTTTCGCTAGATAACCCTATTCCATTTTTTTTGTCATAATGATTCTTAAATCCCAATTTCATCCCATCACGATATCATCAAACTATGACGTCAGCGTTGGATTAAATTTATGAAAAGTGCATACTTAATGATATGTCTCATGTCACCCCCTCTCATACTTACATTAGTCACGAAATTTCCTGTCCTTCAATAACATAATGAAGATTGTGATATCCTCCTGTCATGTGACGAGTCATTATTTGAACCCATCTATAAACGACAGAGAAAGTCAGCGTTTATCTGTTAAATCACACGCGGAATAACTCGGTAAGTTGATATTAGATAATTATCAAGGAATGTAAAACGAATACTTTGCTCATAAGAGTTAAATATGATAAAAGATAATTATTTGTTTGGAGTTGTGGATTAGAAACCGGGATAGTTGCGAGTCCGTCCATCCTCTTTTTATTAGCATGATTTTTATGGGATGGGTGTCGCAGTGGTCTAATTAATTTTAATGTTTATCTAGCTATCAAACGCTTTTTTCTGTTCGTCAGTTCAGCCTTCCGTCCATTTGTTTTTCCTCCACAGCAAAACCCGAAAACCTTTCAGTATCGCTGAAGTAATGCCTTTTGTTATGATATTCGGATTTTTAATTTTTTTTTTTCAGCATGGGGGGTTGGATGGTTGAGTGGTTAGCACGTGCGTGCTGTATCATAAGGCCTGTCATTGAGTCAACTGGCGTGGTTTCGAATCCCCGGTTGTACGTGACAAGGAGTAGGCCTGCCTGTCCAACCTCGTGGGTTTTCTCCGGGTCCCCCGGTTTCCTCCCACTGCTAAAGACGCCCACGCGCAAATGAATTATTAAAATAAAATTAAACCATATGTTAGTCCCAAAATGACCTAGTTTGTGTCGAGTGGACGTTAAACCCCATCTCTCTCTCTCTCTCTCTCTCTCTCTCTCTTTTGTTTCTGCATACACTTTAATTTTTTCTGTTTGATGTACAAAATTAGGCGTATTCTCATGATCATCGATCGCCCCCGGAGAATTTCTCGAGAACCATTCGATTGTTCTTATCTTAACGAAATTTTCTACCAAACAACAGGGGGGTTGGATGACCGATGTCATTGAGTCAACTGGCGGGGTTTCGATTCCCCGGTTGTACGTGGTGACAAGGAGTAGGGTCGCCTGTCCAACCTCGTGGGGTTTCTCCGGATCCTCCGGTTTCCCCCCACTGCTAAAGACCCTTACGCGCAAGCGAATTATTAAAATAAAATTAAACCATATGTTAGTCCCAAAATGACTTAGTTTGTGTCGAGTGAACGTTAAACCCCATTTCTCTCTCTCTTGTTTCATCATACACTTTCATTTTTTCTTTTTGATGTACAAAATTAGGGTATTTTCATGATCATCGATCCCCCCCGGAGCATTTCTCGAGAACCATTCGATTGTTCTTATCTTAACGAAACAAACAACAACAATCTACTGAAGTATTTTTCACTATTTTTCTTTTCATTTCCATTGTGATGACGAACTTATTTTTTTCAGCGAAAATCTCTAAACATTTTTCAATATTTTGCAAATCTTAAACACCAACATCGCAAAAAAACTGATACAAACACGATTGGTAGTAAATAATTTAATTTAAAAGTTGATAATCGAGAGTTTGTTTATTATCGTAACAACAGTAGCAATGACAGTCGAAGATACTGTAGCACTGTTCTGTAAACGGCCATAACTCCGCTCAGAATGAACTAATTGGGCATTGTCATTGTCAACATATATTTTATTATCTGTTTTTTTTTGGGGTTTTTTTTTTGGTTTTTTTTTTAAACTATTATAGTGAGAACTATCAACTCTTAACCAAATCTTACATAGTGCGTTTTCAAGAATTTGTGAATTATACTGGTTAGAACTCTCGTTTTATTTTCCTATAAAAACATTTACTTTAAATCTCAAAGATTGATTACAACACACAATGATGCACACAACGATGGCACTCGACACAGTCTACTGTCCTGTTTAAATCCTAGAAATACTTTACTGATTTATACTCTATATCCTGCTAGCATTTTTAGAAACCAGTTGGCTGCTGCTAATGATCATTTTATAAGTTTGTGGGAGTCGGGGCGGAAAAAGGGGTGGGTGGGTATGACATTTTCTAATTGCTCTGGAGCCTGTTTCACGAAATTTTAACTAAGATAAAATACAGATTTTAGTAATTTGATTGGATAATATTAGATTGATTTTAGTGCTTAGCCAATCAAAATTTAAGTATCTACTAAAATTTGGAGAAACAGGACCCTGATTTACAACTGTCGACGTCAACAACTTCAGAGATTATTCTATTATTTTAGGATGTTCGCGGTTTAAACTCTCTAGTTGATCTTCACACTGATGGATCGGACCGTCCTTTCCGAAATATCAATCAAGAATTCATATTATTCCGATTATATTATTTCATTAACGTCTCTGATCGCCATTTAAATCCATTGTAAACTTCATTATCGTGAAAGTTTAATCTCTAACAGAAACATCGGTCCAGACATGGCCCATTTCCGTTTAGAACAAACAAATATTATTTTTCATTAAAAAGTTGTCAACTTTCAGCATCCACTGTACCAATCTGTTTCACAGAGTTATTGGGTACCTTTTGCAGGGTAGCGTCCAAGGTAAAATTTCATCCAAAGGAGTTTCTCCCGGTACTAAAAAGTAAAGATGCTATAACACTGTAGAAGATGACTGACCCTTATAAGTTCAAATGCCCCCTACACGTGACGTCCCATCACAAGGCGTCATTCATTGGCTCGATGGCGCGTGCACTGTTTACATAACGTAAACTGGCCCGGGCGGAATTATGCCTTTTACTCATTTTATTCCCATTTAGACACTAAATAGAAAATATTTCACCTTTATTTATATTTCTAATACTTCAATTAACCCACATCGATGTGTGCCACTGCACTCCAGACCGCTAAATCGGTTTGTTAAGGCCAGCTCTATTTTTGTCAAGGTCGCCGAGATGTGAATAAGGTGAGGGCACCTGATTATTGGTGAGATTGTAGGTTAGGGTTAGGGTATGCATTGGGGCTAGGTTCAGGGTAGGATTAGGGTTGGGATTAGCGTTAGCCCTGTTTACATCTCGTGACCCTTGACGAAAAATTGAGCTGGCCTTATCATTTAGCACTAACCACTGCAGGCGATACATATAGGACATGGTCAATATATGCTAAAGCCATCTACGAATTTATTTCTCTACACTTTTATGAAGGGACTGATTTTAATCCAAACTAAAATCAATTTGAATACATTTTAGCGTGGATTAATCTGGTTAAAATAGAGATATTATATATTTCGTTTTGTTTTTTAAGCTTTCGATGAAGACAATTAAAACAAAATTTTGAACTATATAAAACAAAACAAAAAAATAGGATCTGTGTTTTAATCAGATTGGATGTGGATTAAGCGATGGAAATTTGGTATTTCCTGAAAAATGGAAATGAAGTACAGAGATCTTAAAAATGGGTTCCCGCGTACAAACTGGGTGATTTAATGGTATATATGGACCAAAAACATATTCAAACTAATTAATTGGTCATAATTATGCTTCAAATCCTTCTCAGACATTGTAATTGCGAAGGAATGCCCTGCTATTAAAATTCGATCAAACCAGGTCGTGTTTACGTCACGTCTTGGGAGTCAGAGGAGAATTCATTGCATACATAAGACGATGTTGTCTTTAATCGCTTACTATTTATTACAAATATCGAATCCTAATTAAATTCTCGGATTATCCGCAACCCGCGTCTTTTTCCGTCATTTTTATCTCAGAAAGTATTGTACGTCTAACTCTTCATAAAGTTTATCAACTCGTACATCAAGCGCTCAAGCGACCTTTGATATCACGCGTGCAGAAGTTCCTAACCCTCGGGCTGTTGATTAGGGGAACCCTTACATTTTTGTCCTGTATACGCTCCATGAATGTTTTTCGGGGAATCCAGTATTTTTCTAGTAAGATTGAAACTCTGTACTTTCCATATATACCAAAATTGCCATACTTTTATTGGAAGTAACCACCTGATAAATACATTTCTGGGAACCAATCTTTAATTATGATTGATATACGCTCATTTATTGTAGGATATACAATAGACGATGGAAGTGAAGGAAGTGGTTTTGTTATTTACTCTGCTACACTTGTCATCGTCCACTACTTCAGGTTTGTTATATTCATCATATTAGATGAAAATTATTTTTTTAAAAATAAACATAACTTTTGGATGCTTTTGCATTTAAAATTAATCATGGAAGAAAAACACACGGCGAAAGCTGTTAGGTTGATGCACTACTCAGGTGCGCTACTAAAAAAAAATCAGAAGTGTCACCTGGTGTTCTGGAATAGTAAGCATACTCTACAGTATGCACAACCTTAGTCATTATTTGTAATTTCGACTAGGATTTCTAGAAGCCAACTAAGTTGTTTAAATACAACAATGAAACTAGGGCTAAGTGCGAGTCCGAAATACAAATCAAGGCAGTTTCAGTATACCATACTTCGTGCTAACATAACCTTCTAAAATCGAAGTCGCCACAGTTGACTAAATAGAGAGAGAGAGAGAGAGAGAGAGAGAGAGAGAGAGAGAGAGATGGGGTTTAACGTCCACTCGTCACAAACTAGGTCATTTCGGGACTAACACATGGTTTAATTTTATTTCAATAATTCGCTTGCGCGTAGGGGTCTTTAGCAGTGGGAGGAAACCGGAGAACCCGGAGAAAACCCACGAGGTTGGACAGGCGACCCTACTCCTTGCCACGTACAACCGGGGATTCGAAAACACGCCAGTTGACTCAATGACAGACTTTATGGTACAGCGCGCACGCGCTAACCATTCAGCCACCCAACCCCCGGTTGACTAAATACATGCTTTGTGATTTTATTAGCTGGTACCAATTTTGGCTAGCGTGCTTGTCGTTGCCCTTTTCTTAAGAATTAAATTCGTTCGTTTGAATTTGGTAAGTGTTCTCCTGGTGGGAATTGATTCTTGTTGACCTTTATATTATTGAACACTTGAGCTAAATACCAGGGACCTGTTTCACGAACTTTTAACTAAGATAAAATCCAAATTTAAGTAATTTGACTGGGTAATATTAGATTTTAGTGCTTAGACAATCAGAATTGAAGTATCTACTAAAATTGGATTTTATCTTTAGTTAAAATTTCGAGAAACCGGGTCCAGGATCCATTCATCACGTTCACGACCCATATTACATCGGCTAAATCTGTTTGTTAAGACCAGCTCAATTTTTGTCAAGGTCCTTGAGATGCAAATAAGGTTAGGGCACGTGATTGTTGGCGAGATTGTAGGTTAAGGTTAGGGTAAGCATTGGGGCTAGGTCCAGGGTTTTGGGATCAGCGCTAGCCCTATTTACATCTCGTGAGCTATGGCAAAAAATTGAGCTGGCCTTATCATTTAGCACGACCCACATTACATCCACAGTGTCTTAATGGCGTCGTCGCGTGCAACGCTGGTTCCGTTGCATATTGCTATGAATGAAGTCATGGAAATGATATATATTATCAAATAATTATTAAAACCTCTGCATGCCCATTACTATGTGTGTAGTCCTGGAGACGACATATAACCTAAAACAATGAATAAACAATGACTATCCATATATGCACACCAGTTCCCAAATTACCGAGCCGTCTGGGTAAGATTCGATAATAAAAAGGGGATTAACATGCTTTTTTTTTTGCTCCATCTGGACGAGTTGACTACGAGGGAAATTGTGCTCTGGCAGCGACGCTAGGACGAACTTCCAACTTCAAGGGATCTTCAACGCGCACGCGCACGTGTACATGAGGCCTCAACATTACCACCCACCCGAATGAGCAGACGTCGTTCCCAGCCAGTTCCCCCGTCTTGCACAACCGACAAGGGAGAACCACCTCAGAAAATCCCGAGAAACATTATCGGCCTACACCGGGATCGAACCAGGGACCTCTAAGTTTACAAGCCAGCGCCCTACTCACTGAGCTATTGCGGCTCCTTTGGTAAGATTCACTGCGGGGCCATTTTGGCCTATTTTGGCAGTGACGAACAAGGGTTAACGAAAGGATTAGCACAGATTAGGCCTTTGTTCATATTTCTGTTTCTTTCTTTTTGATTAGATATAAAGACAAGTTACGCATGTAAAAGTCAGGTTTACGTTAGCTGCTACACGCATATATTACAATGTGCTCCTGGCGAGAGAATTTTTCTTCACTCGGCGGACTACGGCTTTACCAAAGGGCGACAGGATTGTTTAAGAAACTGTCCAGATGATCATTCGAACTCACATTCCTGGCAACTAATGGATACAAAATGTACGAAAACCTTCGAGAGAGATCATCTGAGCGATCTTACTTCAATGTGCAATGGACGTGAACAGTGCTTTTTTCATTCACCTAAGTCAACGATTTTTCCTGGCTGTAATAGGCTTTGGAGGCTTTGGAGGCGAGATTATGATGAATATACCTACACCCGTATTATGTATGACTGCAGACAAGGTAATCTCCCCTTTGCATTTATTTACTACGTAAATTCTCGATTGAACGTTCCGGAATTGAATTCTCTAAATGCCCAAAATAGTGACAATCGAGTTAAAAGTTGAATTTTGGGCTACAAGGCATGCTTCGACTGCATAAGAAATATATCGACCAATCATGACAGTTGAAGCATATTCATTGTGTTTAATTACGTCACGATTCTACCCACACCACCTCAGTCGTAGGGGCTGACAGAATTGTGACAGGACTAAATTCCACGCCAATCGATTGCAATTATATCAATTCGGGACGTTCCGGATTGAGAATCAAGCATACCCTTTATGTCTCGTTATGGAGTTGGGGTTACGATGACTCAGTACTAGGACATTTTCTTACTATCCAGAAAGTTCCTGGTTCGATTGACCTGAGAAGTTTCTTGGGCTTTTCCAGCGTGGTTTCCGCTTGTCAGTGTAGAACGGATGGTTTAACGAGGCACAGTGTCTAGTTGTTTGGGTGGGACGAAAATAGAGGTCCCGTGAACACGTTGGCGTACACATAAAAGAACCCCTAACAATTGAAATTCAATGAAGTATAGCTGGGAACTATAGCGAAAAATCTGGGATAAAGTGGTCAGTTTGTTTTTTAATCGTTTAAATAAAATAAAACCAAGTACGAACAATCCAAACCATAAGACAGAATTCGAAGTCCTAAAAAACGTTATAGGCAAAATAGTGTATTCAAGCAAAATAGTGTAATCAGCAAATGGACTGCTCCTCGTCTCCAGGTTGATTGTAGAAGAAAGGCTGCTGAATATAGGCCTACGAGATACGTACAACCATAGAAATATATAAATAGACTAAAACGACCGTCACGCCATCTTGGTACATTGATTCTGATGACGTCGCGTGTTGTAAATTCAATAAATCCGTCTTCGTTTCACGTTAGGCTTTGAAGAAAGAATGTCGTAAAAACAACTCATTAATATACTCACAGGTCTATTTATATATTTCTGTCCGTTCAACTGTCTGCACCCAAAAAGGTTGTATAGTATTACACAAGATGACACCATAACGAGAAGCTACGGTAAACTCCTTATTGAGCTAAACATACATTATGCAAGAGCTAAATCTGCCCATTGCAGGTCTTTCTTTATAATTTAATCATGAAATGGATAATCGAGACTATGTTTTTTTATGGTACGGACTTTAGTAATGAGGATCGAGGCTAGGACGAAATTTCAATCGCTTACTTCTCGGTTCAGAGTGGATTAATTTGACTGAAATTTTCAGCAAATTTACTTTCCATTATCTAGTTTTTAACGATTAAAGTGAGAACTGTCAGCTCTTTATCTAATCTCCCATAATTTATCTTTAACTGGGATTTTGATAATCGTTAAAAAAGAAATTAAGCTGGTTTACTTGTACTCAACATTGATTGACCTAGAACAAAATTTGTTTTACTTTCAGCTTCATATCCGATAACAACACCACAAGTATCTGTTATTGCTTCCCCTCCATCAACCCACGAGACGCTATCACCAAACACAACTGACATGTCCCAATCAAATGCTTCAAGCAATCCAAGCAGTATGATAACATCGTCGGCAAATCATACTAGCAATATAACAGATTTCACAGTTAACACCGTTGAACCAGATGCTTCAGAAATGACGTCACCTAGTAAGTAGGCTACCTGTAAATATAACGTCATCCTAGGTCAGTGCTTATGTGGAGACTTGACCTCTCCCCCAAATTCTTAAACCTAACGCTCAATCCACATATGCCATATGGGCAGGACCGTCTCCAATTTCTCCATACTAGTACCAAGTTTCTATTTCAATATAATTACTGATTACACCTAACAATGTGGCGAGGTTCCCTTATTAGTTTCCAAGGGGAGCGGGTGGGGGTGGGGTGATCGAATGGATAGCGCGTATGCGTTGTATCATAATGTCTGTCACTGGCGTGGTTTTCTCGAAGTCCTCCGGTTTCCTCCCACTGCTAAAGACCCCTACGCGCAAGCGATTTATTTAAATATGTTAGTACCGAAATGACCTAGTTTATGTCGAGTGGACGTTACACCCCCCCTCTCTCTCTCTCTCTCTCTCTCTCTCTCTCTCTCTCTCTTATTGCTATTGGTTTCAATACTGCATCTTTTGCTAATTTTCCTTTGTTCGTTTTTTTATTTTGTGTTCGTTTATTTATATATTTCTCGTCTTTTATATATAGATTATGGTGTAACTGTTGGGATTATTACAGGAATCGTTGCGGTCATTTGTATTTTAGCAATAGTTATCTTGGTTATCTTGATTAAACGGTAGGTTTATAATCTTATTTATGGTGTAATGGTTTAACAGCGACCCGCCCCCACACCCCAAATAAATGTTTGAAAACCCACACACGACCCGAACGTGACATGGTCTGACATGAAAATAGTGTTCAGATGACGAGAAGCCCCCCCCCCCCCCCACACACACACACCAACTCCACCACAGTTATGCAAAACCGCTTACATTGTCCTAACAGAAATTTGAGTTTCTACCACATTACGTTTTAATGCTCTATGTATGGCCATAGGTAGCGCCTAGCTGCTCATAACTATTGTGCGGATTGGGATTGGGCGTGGTCATAACGACAGCCTATTATCAGAAGCTAGTACAGACATAGTATCTCCAAACGCACGATTACGCTTTAACCATTTAACCAAGGGGATGGGGGTGAGGAATTTCCGTGCTCGCAGCCCTCCCATTCCCACCCTATAATGGACTATCCACAATTGACACTTCTGGCAAGTTTCCCCAGAAAACATGATTTTGTATGAGATATCGACTTCGTTAAACATGCATTATGCAAGAGCTAAATCTGCCTATTGCAGGCCTTTCTTTAGGCCCTAAGTGTTATATAGACTATTTGTAATTGAAATTAGACATTGATTTACACGACAAGACCATAATCAACTCTTAATGCCATCGGATGCCTCCAATTTTAACAGATTTGAATCCGATCTGCTGTTTAACCGTAAAAAATGGATAATCGAATCTTTGTTTATTATCGTAACAACGGTAACAATGACAATCGAGGCTAACGTGAAATTGAAATGAGAATTTCGTGGCTCAGAGTGAAGTAATTTGACTGAAATTTTCAGCATATTTCATTTACATTATCTATTTTTTTTTAACTATTATAGCGAGGAACTGTCAGCTCTTTATCTAATCTTCCATAATGCCGCTTTAAGCCCCTCGAACGAATTGCATTGCATGGCCTCGCCGAATGAGTCCTTAGTGTATCAAAATACTCCAACAATCTCTAGATGTATATATGCCATTTATTTCAGGAGGAGGAGGAGGATTATAAAAGATAAACAACTGGGCATATCCAATCCAGCTTATGTAACTAATAACTATGCCATAATAACAACAAACGATAACTCTACGTACATCGACTTTTGTGGGCCATCGACCAGCGTTAATTACAGGAATAATCATTTGCATAATTCCAAGAACTTTAACTCAGAAGCTGATACAGATGAACACGTTTACAACAATGTTGGCGAGGCCACTGATTCAGAAAATATGAACGTTTATTGTAATAGTATGGCGTCTTCGATTGTAGCGGAACGTATTAATTACAATCATTGGCACGAATTAAAGGACAGCAACTCTGCTCCATCTAAAACTAAAAATGTGTACAATCACCTGAACGATTCTGAGGTAGTAGGCAGCTCTGACAATATCTACATGCCTTTTGATGGTATCGGTGAGGCAGTTAAAGGAATCGCGGACAGTGAGTGCGAAAAGCGCGACATATCTTCAGAAGATGATATAAATAACCCGCGCGGTGTGAATCACAAGAACAAGATTAGCCGAAATTTATCGAAGGCCAATAACTCACGTTTGAAAAAAACTCCTGATTATGAAAATGTTGCAATATTCAAAGATAAATAAATTTGAACTTTAAACGAAATTGTCTTTTTAAAATTAAATATAAAATTAGACTTTGTACGCTGTTTTGAAGAAGAACTGATTGACTTGTTTAGATAAACTGGCGAATATTTTCGGTTTCCCAAAACCAGGTCTATTATGTAGCATCATTTAGCTGGATATAAAGTGACGATTTTCGTGTGTGAGGTGAAGTGTGTTCATTTTATTTAGAACTCTTTTTAAAAATTCCATCGTTGATATTGTATTCTTTCATTATTCTTTGTGCTTTTGTACGCTTTCTGGAACACGTGATACCATGTAGTTAAATAGCTAACATCGTATGTGGTAGTTATATAGCTAACAATGTGTGTGGTAGTTAGGGTACCGTAGTTAGATATAGCTAATATTGTGTATTATAGTTAAATAGCTAAGATTGTGTGCGTTGGTTAAATAGCTAAGATTGTGTATTGTAGTTAAATAGTTAAGATTGTGTGCCGTAATTAAATATCTAACATGATGTAATTATGTAGCTAACATATTATTGTATGTGTGTTGTAAATAAATAATTAATATTATATGTGGTAATTCAGTTATACAGTGTAGTTAAAAATATATTTCGAATTCAAGTCAACGTTATTATATCGTCGTAAAAATAAATTTACCCGTAGGTTCACTAGGCTATTTTTTGTATTTACCGAATGGTTAGCACGTGGGCGCTGTATTATAAGGTCTGTCATTGAATCAACTGGCGTGGTTTCGATTCCCCAGTTGTACGTGACAAGGAGTAGGCTCACCTGTCCAATCTAGTTGGGTTTTTTTCGGATCCTCCGCCCCGCCCCCCCCCCCCCCCGCACTAAAGACCCCTACGCGCAAGCGGATTATTGAAATAAGAATGAACCATTATGTTAGTCCCGAAATGACTTAGTTCGTGTCGAGTGGACGTTAAACCATCTCTCTCTCTCTCTCTCTCTCTCTCTCTCTCTCTCTCTCTCTCTCTCTGTTTACTCCATTGCATGGAAATGAAATTGAGTTTAACTTCCTGTCTTTTTGCACCAACAGATCAAATGAGGACGGACATACACCATGTGAAATGAGGTCATTCAACACTGACAATAGGACACTGCTCAGAAATATCCCCCACTGAGCCACAGTGACCGCCATTTACCCTAGTATGCGTGTCATGCGCGATATAGAAGTGGCATATTATTTTCGAAACACCTGATACCACGTTTCCATAGCAACGCCATTTAGTTATTATGTTGTTTACTTTATAAACTATACTATTTTTGTCTTTATTGTATTTATTGATTGTCCGTGTTCGAAGCCGTTGAAATATTTCCTACTTATTCTGTACCTCGGTTAAGTAAAAAAAAAAAAAAAAAACACACGGCAAATGGTATATTATGTTGTTATATAAAAGTAGGGTCAGATCTAAATATTAAGGCCACCTGCAGATTTGGTCATGGTCACGCGATGGAAACGGGGTTAGTGCACGTGGTTGTTGCCGAGGACTGTGGGTTAGGGCTAGAGCTAGAGCTAGGTCTTACTGGGGTAGGGCTAGGTTTAAGAATTTGGGGGAGAGGTTAAGTCTCCACATCAGCATCATTTCATTTATACCCACCTGTATGTAATGGGTCATAAACCCCGACCACAAAGTACTAGTTTACCTTCCATTGAATCGAGGGTTATATAAAGCGAGATCTTAAGGAAAACACTTTAATACGACGGGCACGTAGTAGTTAGTGTAGCTCCACGCCAGTTCGAGGCAGGTTGCTATTCATACACACAGTTACTTGTTTATTATATTATACTGCTAGGCTGCTTTATTATGTAAGTCCTACCTGTTCGACTAGCCTGCCTTCCTAGAAAACTAAAAATACAAAATATATTAAGTCACCGTGAGTTATAAAACATTACATAAGGGTATGTAGTATAATACCAAGGATATAAGGGATTATATTACACAGAAGGGTATACTCCAGGATCTTAATAATGATCATGACATTATTGAACCAGAGCGTATAACTCACAGGTAGATAGATAGGTACGTAGAAATTTATTTATTCCGTCTTTGAAAAATGTTTAAACGAATATGTATCTAATCCTTGAGCGACATTTAGCGATCGCGCACAACACCAAAAAACATAAAACTTTAACACAATTTATATGGAACAAAATCACTGTTTGTAAACATATAGCAGAACGTTTTAGAAAGTCTTTTCTTATGGTTTACAAGCACATATTTGATTGTTTTCCTTATAAATTGTGTTGTTTTTCTGAATATGTATTTGTTCTGTATTGTGATATGTTTTGATGTACAGTTATAAATGTATATACTTATAAAGGAATATATTGGGTTATTAAAGATCTAGTTTGGTAGTTATAGAGTCTGTTGCTAAAGTCGCAATATATATTTCTTCTGTATAATACTAAATTGTGGGGGGGGGGGGTAGATCATCACGTCTGTCATTGAGTCAAGTGGCGTGGTTAAGATCCCACAATTGTACCTGAAACTGTGAGGATCGCCTATCTAACCTCGTGGGTTTCTTCAGGTCCTCTGGGTTCTCCGGGTCCACCATTTTCCTCTCACTGTAAAAGACACTTACGCGTAGGCGAATTATTGAAATATAATTGAAACATGTTAGTTCCGAAATTACCCAGTTTGTGTCGATTGGACGTTAAACCCCATTTCTCTCTCTCTTTTATTAAAATTGCAATATTTATTTATTTCTTTTATATACTAAATTGTGATACTTGATTTACAATTAAATTTTATTAAGGTTTATAAGTTAAAGGCTATAAATTCTATACTTTTAACAAGAATATCGTGGGTCATTAAAGAGCTGGTTTGGTGGTTAGAACCTTCTATTAAAGTTGCAATATGATTTTTCAATACACAAGTCACATTTCTATGGAATACAATAACTACAAAATACTGATCTTATTATTATTTCTGATCTTTAATTATCCAGCTCAGTAATTAACAGTTATTGTATTCCATACATATTGTGACGTGTGTATATCCTTTTTAAATACCGCTATTCATATTGTTGTCCTTTGGAAAAAGGCAAAGTCTCCGTTATTGATGTCCGTTGTGCAGGAAATTTGGCATGCTTGTTCCTTGGGGAATAACTCGTCGATCTTTAATGTGAAGCGACAAGATGTCGTCGATGACGTCATAACAAGTTCTGGTCCATAGTATCATAGTAGGCTAAACTTGTTCCAATTTATTTTTGAAATTGCAATATTTATCGCTCGATATCACCACTTTCTATAACAGACAGCATTTTGCTGGGCAACTAAATTAAGAAAATGGGTTTTAAACACTGTTTATGAAAAATATGGAGCTTGTAGGACACAGTAAGTCACAGATGTTTTCACTCTATGAAAAGATTGAACTTTATTATATTTTGAATTAATAACAATATGAAAAGATTGAACCTTATTATATTTTGAATTAATAACAATATGAAAAGATTGAACCTTATTATATTTTGAATTAATAACAATATGAAAAGATTGAACTTTATTATATTTTGAATTAATAACAATATTGCTTCTTTAAAGCCCCAGCATTCCAGAACAATGGTTAATCGTAGACTTTAAAACATCAAACAATTCAAAGTTAGCTAAGAGAAAGCTTAGCGTCCGCTCGACACAATCTAGGGTCACTTGTGGTCTTTAGCATTGACAAAAACTCGACAAACTACAGAAAACCAATACTACTTGTCACGTGGTATCAAAACCCGAAATCGGCATGTAGATTTTACAGTGTAACTCTAAACAGATTTATTGACGAATGTCTTGGAGAACGTGTGTTGCATGTACACTACAAAAGGACAATACACGATAAAATACAGAATTTGTTAAAGAGGAACTTGTCCCATACGCTTGATAATCTTCTTTTTGTTCTTCATGTAGTCAGGCTTTTAACAAAATACATAAGGCTACGTCAGTTTGGGGAGTATCGACATGAGACTTTGGCATGATTCACATTCAGCCAATGGAGCGTCGATTGACAAACTGAGTAGTTTGTGTGACAGGCCGAGTTGTTTGTTTGAGTTTGACAGGCCGAGTTGTTAGGTTTGACAGGCCGAGTTGTTTGTTTGATAGGCCGAGTTGTTTGTTTGATGGGCTGAGTTGTTAGTTTGACCGACTGAGTTGTTTATATCCTAGTTTTGCTTACCATAGATTTGATTATCACCCATAGCCTCTCCTTTGGATAAAATACACCTTGGGCGCTTTCTTGCAAAGACATTGTGTGTTATCCAAAAAAGCTAGATCAAGCCTGTTTTGTGGCTTCCTGTGGCAAGTTTCTTAGGAAACATTTGTCTACGAAATCATCCTTGGCGGAAGTGAACGTAAAACTCCGAGAAAAAAGAAGAAGAAGAGTGGATTATAATCCAGACAAAGACATGCTAACTAGCACAGTTTAACAGATTATCAATTTGAAAGCAAGCTAATGGCTTAGGGTCTGATTTTATTAATTACTTGTTAGTTTACAACAGAAATATTTGTTTTTTTGCCCACTATTAGTATGTGCAGGAGAACCGTACTACACGAAAAACAAAACCGATGAGACAAACCTGCAGACAAGACAAACTACACAGACATAAGCAACAAATATCTATTCAAGAGACAGTATATATAATAATACAGTGCAGGGCTTGGACAGGAAGACCCTTGATGATTCACAATTCTATTGGTGTAAGTAGGTGTCGTTATATAGGATATGGTTACTTATCGTGATGATATAACAGATGGTTAATGATGAATACTTTCACAATGGTTCAACACATAAATAAATTTAGATTCATTTGTCATATTAGATTCATGACCTGTGAATAAAAAGGAATGTTGTAACGAACTGGTTCAGATTATGACGAACTAGGCCGTGTTATGACGACGGATTATATTTTTTAAACTATGAGAGGTCTAAAATCTGTTTATTTAAAGTCGTATCATTTTGAAAAGCAAGCTATGCTATGTATGTCGTGTTCAATGCAGGGCATTCTTACTGTTACTTCTTGTTTTGTGTGTGTGAGTGTGGGGGGGGGGGGGTAGTCCATCGGAGAGGTATCTGGGCTCTCGAGTGGAACCTGTCACGTTCTGATCCGTGAGAGGATGTACGAATGATATAAAGATGCGTTGTCGACAACTTTATAAATTGTTGTACACTGGAAAAAGCGCAGGCTCGTAACGGGGTGGGGGGGGGGCTGTGAAAAAAAATCGTCGACCATAAAAACAATAGATATACATTGTCCGCCAATTTTACAGCAACCCTGAGAACACTCCTCACCCCCCTCGTCGCTCTGAGCTAGTTACGGCCTTGAAAGGCTATTGTCCGGATAATTTTCTCATACCTACCTTTGCACACTTAACCCTGTGTTATTCTCAAAATTGAAAAAAAATTGTCGACCATAAAACAATAGATATACATTGTCCGTCAATTTTACAGTACCCCCGAGAACACGCCCCGCCCCCATCGTCGCTCTGAGGTAGTTACGGCCCTGAAGAAGCGTAACTGGGAAGGCTACTGTCCGGCCAATTTTCTCATACCCTACCCTTACGCACTTAACCCTGTGTTATTCCTAAAATTACCGACATATTGTGAGACGTTAAACTTCACTCCTCTCCATTAGCATATATTTTGTACACTGGGCTATTAACTCGCCGTAACGTTAGACCACCCAATTTATGTGTACCAGAGAAATCCCATAACTATCGTTACCAATTACAAATTGTTCTGTTTTCGGGCACACCTCTCTCTTTTCAACCCCCGTATCCATTTGGACACAACCCTTCTCCACTTTCACCACAACCAACTTCATTTTTATCCAACGGCTCTCCATTTTCACCCCATCGTCTCCATTTGCACCCCACCCGTCTCCATTTTCATTCCACCCCAACTATACGCATTCCGACTCCTCGCCATTAGGACTTTCTGCACCTGCTTCTGCTACTGTGCGGTTCTTAGTTGCCACGGTGGCATAGCGAACAAGACGCGGATCTGGCAAGGAACAGCGTCTAGTTGTTCGTATGGGACGAAAAACCAATGTGCCCCAAGTAAACTTTGGCGTGCACGTAAAAGAACCCCTGACAGTTCGATAAATTCGATAAAGAATGTGGAAACGCCACTGTCAGAGCAAAACTTTCATTATGGTCTTCTGTATGTTATATGCCCGTCATCCTAAACCGGGCCAGTGTCGAAAAATAGGACGTTAAACCCCATTTCATTTTCCTCCCTTCAGACATTTTGCATACGTCACTGGTAGTGATTCATAAATCCACTGTTTGACCCTGATAATGACTGACTACTGTATTGTAAACATGTATATATAACTGATCATTCTGGTTGTATAAATTGTAGGACAGCTGTTGTATTATTATTGTGATGTATTGATATGATTATTGTTAGATTTATAGTAGTCATAGATTCATGTGTAACAAGCCAATCTTTTCATTATATAGGGCGAACGTAAAGAATAGTAATAATCCCAAAACTCTATTTCATATCAGTTCATTGGCCATGATCACCTTTATGTTGTACTTAGGGTAGATTGAAAAGATACAAATGTCCATTTGTGTTCCTTTATGTTGTAGCCCATAGAACTATAGACTAGAATAGCAATCACGTGACTTATGACGTCGTGGTATGTTCTTGTATGTAGCCTAGTGCTTTTAGATTTATGGATGTAGCCTATGACTTATGAGGTTGGTTCCTGTGGTGTTCTAATTAGGAAGTGAGTCCAAAGTTAATGAAAATGAAATGAAATGGGATTTAATGTCCTACTGTTCTGCACCGATTTATCTAATAAATACGGCCATGGGCCATACAGTGCGCCATGAGGGTCAGCGACGCTATACTCTCATTTCGAATTTCAGCTGTCAAAGTCTCTTTTACATCTACGCCAGTGTGTACACCCGGCCTCGGATTTTCGCCCCATCCGAACGGCTATGCGTTGTTCCTTTGCGAAATCTAAAGTTAAATGTGTACAAATGAATTTAACTTGTTATATATGTAGTAAGGGTAGCTCTGAGAGTAAGTCATTGGCCCAAGATGGTCAGGGTTCGATCATGGTGCTGATCAAGAAAGTCCCCCGTGATTTGTCGGCGTGGTTCCCCCTTGCCAATTGTGCAGGACGGAGGGTCAGGCAATGACAGTGTCTAGTCGGATGGGACGATAGACTGAACTGCCCATACTTGTTGGCATGCACGTAAAAAAAACCTTGAGAGATGGAATTCGATATAGGTTTAGGTTTAGATTAGTAAGACGTTCAACACCCATTAAAATTCTTTATATATTATTCAGGTCTTTCTTTAGGCCTTAAATTTGATATAAATTTTCAATTAGACATAAATTAACTTACCAAGACCATAATCAACTCTCGGTGCCATTGTATTGCAAGATATTATTTATTTATATTTTACGCTGTAACATATAAATTTTATTCTCCACACTAACATTTTGTATAATACTCTGTAACACGTAAGATTTATTTTACGTGGTAACATATTATTTGTATTTTACACTGTAACATTATTTGTATTTGTATTTTACACTGTAACATATTATTTGTATTTTACACTGTAACATATTATTTGTATTTTAATCTGTTACATATTATTGTATTTAACGATGTAACATATTAGTTGTATTTTACGCTGTAACATATTATTTTTATATTTCAGTTTACATACAGAGGACACCGATAAAACAATATTATGAAGTGCCTTATTATTATAGTGTGTATATTATTGTGGGAGTCAGTTTCATCAGGTAGGCTTTTACGAATTTTCCCCTACAGAAATAAGCAAAAGATTAATCACAACAAAATATAAACCGCTAGGTGTCACAATTCATTATGGTATCTTTAATAAACCAATACTACCCCCTCCCCCTCCCCCGCCCAACGTTCACGGTTGTACTGCCAATTCTATTACGATCGATAAGAAACATGGACTGCGATTTTTGATTTAGCATCACAATTTCAAGATGGCTGTGATTACGTCGTGGTCGGTTCTGTTTTTTTTAAAGCAACTGCCGAACATCTTTAAAGCGCCAGCTCCTCTTTAACAACAAATTAAAAACCGTGAGAACGTCTCGCTTTTTCGCATCAGTTGCCGGTCATTAAACAACGGGACTGAAGGCAATAAACCTATTTGTGTTGGACTGGGTTCATGTAATATTATGTCATGAGGCTACTGTTGATATAAAATTTACCCAGAGGGTTATACTAACAATAATTGAAATTTAAGAAATAAAAAAAAAGTTTATGGCTCCGGGTCAGGCCTCTTTAAATATAAAACGACTAATGCAAACACTGGAGATATGTTTGTCAATGGCTAGACCTAGTTGATTTGGGTCAAAATTAAAGTATTGATTTCTCCGTGGGGTGATACTCGTATTATATGTAGATGCAGAGTTAAATTGCGAGTCGTAACCCATCATGTATAGAGTCCGCAATTACAAGTTTTACATACATAAAGTAATAAAGACTTGGGTGGAGGACGGAGGAATTGACAAAGGTACCCACTAAGTCGTTCCGGATGGGATGAAAGTACAGTCTACATATTGACGGGCACGTAAAAATTCCCTTGGCTGTTGGAATTCGCTATAAGTGTAGACTTTACCGATCTGTACGACTAACATGTTCCTCCTAGCATGCTGTATGGAGTATGCCCGCCTTCATTAGCCCAATCGTCACAAAATAGTAGGACGTTGAACCCCATTTCATTTCATTTCAATAAAGAATTGCTCCCAGTAGGGAAGGAATACCTAATTATGTGGGATTTCTCTGTGTTTTCTGGTTAGCTATAACATCTAAAAAACCCATTTGCAAGCCAAAATCCACAATTAGTTATCCTGTACCGTCCGCACACAAGGACAGGATGAGCCATTTAAAGCTGCAGTACAAGTCTATAAGCTGAACGACAAATTCTCCGATACACCAGATATTAAGTTAAAAAATGGCCACCTAAAATTTTACCTTCAATCATGATAAATGGATAAAGTGCATTCAAAATATTTTTTATCTGAGAGTGATTATCCAAGTTGGGGGTGGGTCGGAGGGGGGGGGGGTGAGTTACTTCAAAGGTAGGGCCCGCTGTGGCTTTAAACTACATGTAATCCAGTTATGCCACTGCTTGTGCCTTAACTTAAAGATGCATTATGGGAGATTAGATAAAGAGCTGGCAGTTCGCACTATAATAGTTAAAAACTAGATAATGTAAAGGCAATTTGCTGAAAATTTCAGTCAAATTGATTCAGTCTGAACTGAGAGTTTAGCGATTGAACTTTCGGCCTAGCCTCGATCATCACTACTAAAGTCGCTACGATAGAAACATAGTCTCGATTTTTCAGTTCATGATTTAATCATGAATGAAAGTTGAGCAGCAAATCGGATCCTAATCCAGTATATATCCCACTCTAGCGATGACATCGAGAGTTGATTATGGTCTGGATAAGTTAATTAATGTCTAATTAATAATTTAGATAACATGTCAGGCCCAAAGAAAGACCCGCAATCGGCAAATTCAGCTCTTGCATAATGTATGTTTAACGTTTTAGCTCAGGTAATGAAATTACACCCCCCACATTATGTCATGCATCAGTAAAAGGCAAGCAAAAATAATACAATTCTTCTCTTTTTTTTTTCACAGCACATGATCTAGAGAGCTTTGCATGTGTCGGGGACTCATGTGGCTTACATAACCTACATTGCTATGGAACTAAAATTTCAATCATTTCCGCGTATTACGGCTACACCAAGATTGCCAATGACTGTCCCCTGAAGAAACAATGCCGTTCGGGGACCTGTTGTGTGAAGAAGTGGTTTGACTTGAATGATGATTGCCTACCAGAGTTTACGAAGGCAGACTATTTAGATCTCAGAAAAATCTGCGATGGCCAACAACACTGCGATTTCACTCCACCACAAAGACTGGATTATGCTGGTTGTCTGAGGAAAAAACATTTCAAATGGTGGGGAAGCTATTATCGTCATGTTTATTTTGAACATTTCACGTATTCATTTATTGAATATAAATGTTTGAAAGGTAAAGTATTAAATTACAAATTGTCTTGTTCCATGGATCCTATTTCGCCTGGTGGTTCAGTGGGTAATTCACTGATTCGCAGAGCAAGAGATGCCCCGACTAGGTCATTTCGGGACTAACACATGGTTCAATTATATTTCAATAATTTGCTTACGCGTAGGAGTCTTTAGCAGTGGGAGGAAACCGGAGGACCCGGAGAAAACCCACGAGGTTGGACAGGCGACCCCACTCCTTGCCACGTACAACCGCGGAATCGAAACCCCGACAATTGACTCAATGACAGACCGTATGATACAGCGCGCACGTGCTAACCATTTGGCCATCCACCCCCCTGTCCCTTTAAGTAATGATAGTAAACATGAAGTTATATTAGTCATGACGACACTCCTTCTCACTGCTCAAGTCAATTTCTGAGAATTGTCAATGTCTCCTATCATTGAAGATGTTTCACGGTCAATGAAAATGTGTTTATTGGCCTAATGCGAGTGTTGTGAGTGGTGCAGTGTATGCTCTTCCTTTCCTGAATACCTCGTACCACTTTCCATTATGCTATATTTTTTTTATATCACGGACTGTATTGTTACTGGGGGTTGGACCTGATTATGTACGAATTTTCGATTTACAAAACATGCACCAGTGGCTAAGTCGGTAAGACGCTGGCTCGCTAGCCTGGAGGTCACGTATTCGATCCTTACATTGACCGAGAAAATTCATCGGGATTTTCTGGTGTGATTTACCCTTGTCAGTGGTGCAGGACGTAGGGTCTGATAAGGACAGCTGTTTAGTCGTACACATTCCAGTGTACGTAAAAGATCCCTTGAGTGTTGGAATTCGATATAAGAGTAGGCTATAGTGCTGTTGCCTGGGCAAGATTTCCCTCATAGCACATTGTATGGCGTATGCCCGTCTTCATTAGCCTAGTCGGAGCAGAACGGTAGAACGTAAACCCCCATTTCATTTCAAAACATGCATTTTAGCGTGATTTTACTGCTATAGAATCCGCTATTATATTGGGAAAGTTGCATCTCTTATAGGGATATCAGTCTGCTTTTACAAAGATATTATAACGAATTGACAATGTAACACGACAACCGCCATTTTTATTTGCCGTGAACCAACTCAATAGATCTGTTTCAAATCCGACTGAACCCAAGCCGAGAGAATATCTAGCGTTGGTATTTTGATTTTTGTTTTTTAATTAAATGGCATTTTTCGAAAAATACAAATCACACGTCGTTACTTTAACAGTTCGGCAGGCAGTAGTCAGAATCGTCAAGTCACTAGTTTCATTGTTTTCGTCGAAACATATAGATCAAGCCTTATATAGTAATACCATATCCAATTTCCATTCGATTTTTAATACTGAAATTTAATTATAAATTTTAGATAATATTGTCAGTATACAAAACCAAATGAAACCCCCTTTACTTGTATTCTAATTTTAGCGTGGGTGCCATACACAGCTCGACCCACTACAAAATCGGTGTATAAACCTAAAATGGAATTAACCACGAAGGCACCACTCTTCAGAACAACTACCGGCAGGCAGGAGATATTTGATCCAGATGGTCTCCTAGAAAAATCGAACCCGTTTCCCAAATCAGGAGTAGAAGTTAAACAGCCTGTTACGTCACAGGACAGAGTGACAGAAGCAGACAAACCAGGTAGATTTTTACAAATGTATTTAGGCCAAAATAAATAACTGTGTCTACGGTTACTTCCCCCCACCCCCCGAAATAGATATTTTAACGAATTGACAATGTATTATCTATGTTCTAGTATTTCTAACTTCACTACTAATAAGAGAAGCCACGGTGGCTCATTGAGCACGGCGTTGGTTCGCTAACCTGTAGGTCGCGGGTTCGATCCTGATGATGACCGAGAAAGGTGATCGGGATTTTCCGACGTGGGTACCCCTTGTCAGTGGTGTAGGATGGATGGCCTGACAAGGAGAACGTATATTCGTTCGGATTGGACGAAAAAACGAGGTCCTGTGTGCACATTGGCGTGCACGTTAAAGATCCCTTTGGACGCTAAAGATCCATCATAGCACACTGCATGGCGTATACCCGTCTTGATTATCCCAGTCGAAGCAGAAAAGTAGGACGTTAAACTCCATTTCACTTCATTTCATTTACGGAGTAAGGTCCTTCAATATAATATCGAAATGTCAATGTTGGAATCCGTCCACGGACAAACACGAAAAGACCGAGTTATAGGGCCTGGGAAATGTGAAAAAGGGTCAGGATTGTCGATTTCACATAAAAAAATAGGGTCGATGGGGTAGTCGTAAATACGGGTATTTTTTATGTTGGCCTTATCCAGGTGTCCCTCGAGAAACTTCCGGGGTTTCCCTCTGTCTGTGGTGCATGACGGAGAATAAGTGACTAGTATACTCGTCGGTTTGGAAGTAAAAGAACCCTTTACAGATTTAGGTGCCGACGCTGATGTCCGGTCAAAATTAATGCATGAAAGTAGGACGTTAAACCCCATTTAGTTTCATTTCATGGATTCTAATCAATACCCCATCCTCGGTATCCCCAGTGGTCTCATTCCGTTTTACTCCACTATCCATAGGGTATTCACGTATTTACCCTTGATCGTAGCTTGATTTTACGAATCAATCAAAAACAGTTTACAATCTAGTCTTAGCCGCATTATTTACATTCACAACAATATGGTGGCTTGTTCGCTCGATTATGAGAAAAATTGCAAGAAATTTAATATAAAAGAAGTGACATGCACACAGAAATATGCCCCAAAACATCTTTTCGGTGCAAAAGATGTTTTTATGTCAGGTTTGATGTATTTAACGATTTTTTGATTGGTCTATAATAATAGCACAATCATCAAGGGCAGATAATTTGAATACATGTCCTTCCATTGGATGAACCCAGGGGTTATTGGAGTGTAACGGAATAAGACCACTGATGATACCGAGGTTGATCAATACCTTAGTGGTCTATTTAATCACACGATGACTACCACGACTCCGAAACGAGAAATAAACAAACGAAAAGGGACATTTCATTTTATCTAGAAACAGCGTCAACTTATCGTAGACCCACTCAGCCTAATTAAATGAAAAGGGACATTTCATTATATCTAGAAACATTGTCAACTTATCGTGGACCCATACAGCCTAATTAAATTATTTCTGTATGTTTATAATAAGAGTATAGGTTTGTATAATAAAAACATTAACGGGAATACTGTAAGAAGTTTAACAATACTGCATATCTTGTTTTATATTTTTAGATACTGTTTTGATTGCCGGCAGTGTTGTTGGAGTTTTGATTTTCATCATATTGGTTGTTTTTGTGGTGATATTTATTGTCAAGCGGTAAGGGGAGATCACTGGCTTTATTTTCACTACTTTAAACGGATGCAACCTACCATTAACATCCCAATTGACTTTAATAAATCCTCGCCTTTGTGTCATGCTCCAACTTTTCCCAAATTTTCGTTGGACTGAATGCTTTCCACCACAGACATATAAACACCTGGCTATGCTGTTGCTCCAAAGATTGTATGAGGTTGAACTGTAAAATTTTGATACACACAAACAGTAGCCTACTATAAACATGTAATGCTAGGTTCCAACGATCACGATTCGCGCTACGATTGAAATCGTGGGTTTAATCGTGGAGTAATCGTGGTGATCCTATCAGCTCTTATCATTTATTGTGGCCAGTCGTTGCAATGGTGTTGATCGTATCGAAACGTATCTGCACGTACCAGACCGTGGACATAATAGGGACAATTTTATCGTAACGCATCGCATGACATTGGGGACCTAGCATCACTATTCGGCGTAGTTATCACCCAACCAAACACTTAACAACTCTGTTATCCTTCCTCCTCTAAGCCATGAACGTTCATCAAACCCTGGGATCAACGGCCAATTTAAACCATCTTCATCATTCTCGAGCAAAATGACCGTAAATTTAGGGAATAGGAGAGATAGGGATTGAGGAGAGGGAGAGAAAAACTGTTAACAAAAGGAACTTTTGGAGTTTAATAACACGAAATAGATTTTGGCCTCTGATATTTGAAACCAGTTTTTATCCAATTTCACAACCGCTTCTTTAAAAATGCATTATTTAAGAGCTAAAGCTGCCTATACTGCAGATCTTTAATTTGGCTTCAAAAGTTATATAAATAACACATAATATCAAATCAAGTGAATGGATCCGGGGACCAGCCGTAAGCGTCCATTGCGCTGTACAGATCATAAGCCATGTCATTTACGTCAACTAATAGTCTCTTTAATACATGCTAGCCGTGGTGGTTCAGTGAGTAAGACGTTAACTCGCTGATCTGAATGTCCCTTGTTCGATCCCTGCGTTGATTGAGAAAGTTCATCGGGAATTTCTGGTATTGTCGCCCTTCGTCAGAAGGCCTGGCAATAGACAACGTATAATGGTTCGGGTGAGACGGAAAACCAAGGTCTCGCGTACACATTAGAGTGCACGTAAAACGATCCCTTGGCTGGTGGAATGGTGGAATTCGATATAAGAATAGACTGCAGCAAAGCTGTCCGGGCAAAATCTCCACCATAGTACACCCTATGCCTGTTTTCCTTAGCCCAGTTGGCGCGGAACAGTAGGATGTTAAACCCTATTTCATTTTATTAAAGTATTAGCTTTCATAGGTTAAAGGGGGATTAGTTAAGATTAGATAAAGAGCTGATAGTTCTATCTATAATAGTTAAAAAAATAGATAATGAAAACAGAATATGCTGAAAAAAATTCAATTAAACTGCTTCACTTTAAACCTCGATATTTTAACGATTTAATTTTAGTCATTACTTATGTTGGTACGATAATAACCATTTTTACGTTAATTTATCCATCACAAAGTATATTCAAATCCACTTAATATCACAGGCTAACGATGACACCGAGAGTTCATTAATAACTTAGATAACATTTCAGGCCTAATGAAAGACCTGCAATAGGCAGATTTAGCTCTTGCATAATATCTGTTTAATATTATTTTGTAGGAAAACGAAGACGGTGGATAGACCGGAAAATACAAGCCAACAACACTCAAATCCTACCTATGGTCATCCGTATATTCACGGTGCTGGCTATGGTGTATATAACAATGCTGTTATCATGCCAGGAGCGTCAGCAAACGGCGCGACACCAATGACTGGTTGTAAACCACCGGATTACAATCAGATAAACGACTTAAAGTTCAGCAACTGTGAAGCAGCATCACAGAATAATGAAAACCATTACGAGGAAGTCAAGGGGGATAATGGCAATAACCTTCTGTACCAACCACAAAACGAAGATGTGGCCGGGGAGAGTCAATTGACAGGAAATGTAAACGAGGGCAATACTATTGATGAGCTTCATATATAGAGTGCGCCGTCAGTTGGTATACGATTAATGAATCCAGATCCAATTAACAAGATAACTTTAATCGACCACGATCTAAATATAATAATGAAAATTGTTCTTAAGCTTCGATAAATTTGGATTTTGACCTTAATAATTGTAGGATTTAGTAAACATATATTCGTCTCCACAATTCTGCATCTAATGTCATATATATTTTTTTTGTATTGTTAATACTTGATATCAAATTAGATGTAGTTCATATCGGTATATCCATGAACAATCCGATACTGTTCGAAACTACGGCTCCTAAAACCATCTCAAACTGAATTGTTTTCCGTTTTGTAGCGCCGTTTACTGGTTCTTGGTCGGTTTAGGACGGACTAAGCAGCAATAGTTTCGGGCAATTTCTAACTGTCTATGGGCTGTTAAATTATATATTTTCATACAAAAGTCCCTGATTATAATAAAGCTGTATTTTACAAGTAAATGATACCATTTACAGCTATATATTCCAAAATTAATTTTTGTGCCTGTTTTTCGTCCATATTTTGTATTAATTTTTATAATTTGTGCTTGTTAATAAATTAAATTCAGTTTATTGAATGGAAAGTTCATCAGCATTTTCAAGGCGTTGCAATCACTTGCCAGTGGTACAGGACGAAGACCTGGTATGGTACAGCGTCTAATAGACGTTGTAACATGGACGGGAAACCATCTTTTGTTCTTGTCGTTGAATAGGAAGATTGTCTTCCCTCTAGTAGATTGGGTGGAGCTTAACCGTGCAATAATTGGACATGTTCTAAGTTATTGCACACTTTTGCTGGTTTACACTAGTTTTAGTACACAACTAGTGTAGTTGATAACAACAAGCATACTGAGCAGGTGTCAATGTTACAAGTCCTTTTTAGCACGCTTCATTCGTTAACAGGTTTAAAATGTTCCTCGTGTTCTCTTCATTATCCAGGTTGGTGCAGAAAAGTATGACGTTACATCTTATTTCTTTGAATCATATTGAATTAAAGTTGTCGACGTAGTCAAGTGGTTATGGTACTAGACCAGTGATTCTCAACCTGTGTGCCGCGGCAGTCAGGTGTGCTGCGAGATCTTCCTAAGTGTGCCGCGAAATTGTGAATGATAAACTAAGAAAATGTGAAAAAACATGTTTTTATTTTGTAAAATTTAGATATTTTTCATATATATTTAGCCAGGTGTGCCGCTATTTCTTCATGTGTTCCAAGGTGTGCTGTCGGTCAAAAAAGGTTGAGAACCACTGTACTAGACGCTTGACTATCCTGTCGTGTTTGTAGAACCTTTGCTTAAAGTCAGACTTTTTTCAGACTATTAATTATGTCAACAATTCGCTTGGGCGTTGACGTCTTTAGCAGTGGGAGGAAACCGGACGGAGGACCAGGAGGAAACCCACGAGGTTGGACAAGCGACCCGAATCCCTGTCATTATACACGCATAGGATCAAAACCAGACCACTTACCCTAATGAATGTCAGTGGTATCATCCGTTCTAGAAACAATATGCATACCCGTCCGCGGTGGAGCGATTGACTGTAGCTGAATATCAGGAACCGTAGCCTACATATACACGCATATAGTGTATGCCACGGAGTGCACATTAAAGAATCGAAAAAATCGGCTTAGAAAAACACACAAAACTAGTTCGTTTACTATATATATATATATATATATGGACATGCAACGCGGCATGCGAGCTTGTTTCTTGCACACTTGCGTATCGTTTGGCTGATTTTGATTTCAGATATGATGTCACAATTACAAGATGGCGGTAATGACATCATGCACGATTATTTAACCATATAGTAATATCGTATGTTATAGACAATGTTCCTAACACCAATATTACAGTGGTTAAGAATAACCCTCTGTGACCTGGGTGTACAAGAGGCTTGTAGGGATCGCCTGCCCAACCATGTGGGTTTCTTCCGGGTCCTCCTGATTCTCTCCACTTCATAAATGAGCGTGCACTTTATATCAACAAAATTTTCACGGGATTTCCAAGCCTGGTTCCGTCTATCAGTTGTCTAGTTGTTTGGGTGGCAAGAGGCATTGTCTGCGATATCACCCTAGATGGAAGCGGACGTTATGTCTAATATCAAGTCAATTCAATGGAGAGAGACAAATGAGGGAAAAACACACGGGGATGGACAGTTGACCCTACCCAATGCCAGGTTCAAGCGGGAAATCGAAACCACGCCATCAACAGACCTTGTGATCTCATGCGCACGCGTCAAACCTTTACGTCTAACCCTATTTCAGAAATTTCTGCACCAACTGGAGTAATGAAGACGTCCAGAGAAATATTCGCCCACTGGCTCTAAGTTTTTCGTACCATCCGAATGAAAACACGATGTTCTTACGAAAATAGATAATTCGGATTGAGAATAGTGATTTAATTTGTGGCGGATATGTGAACCCAAATGTTACCCAAAAAAGTTCAAATTTACATGTTGAATGTTCCAAAATATTATCATGTATTTATGAACATATTGATCTATATTCATTCAATGTTTATGAAGTTGTCTAATGGCGGCAGGATATTGATTAAATGTAAATCACTCGAATTCGATAATACTTCTTATAAAAATTCTTAGTGAGGAGCCACGGTGGCTAAGTGAGTAAGATTCTCCCTCGCTAGCCTAAAGATCGCGGGTTCATTCCCGGTGATGTGCGAGAATGTTCATTGTGTTTCCCCTTGTTAATGGTTCAGGACGGAGGGCGAAGCTGTTTAGTCGTACGGTTTCGAATCCCCGGTTGTACGTGACAAGGAGTAGGGTCGCCTGTCCAGCCTCGTGGGTTTTCTCCGGGTCCTCCGGTTTCCTCCCACTGCTAAAGACCCCTATGCGCAAGCGAATTATAGAAATAAAATTAAACCATATGTTAGTCCCGAAATGACCTAGTTTGTGTCGAGTGGACGTTAAACCCCATTTCTCTCTCTCTTGTTTAGTCGTACACGTAAAAGATCGCTTGGCAGTTGGAATTCGATATAAGAGTAGGCCGTAATATGTAGTACGCTGGCGGAGCAAAATTTCTCTCATAGTACACTGCTTCCGTCAAAAGGCAAAACCTAGTAACTCACTTTTTTCCTATTTTGAGAAAACAAAGGAAAACGTAATGAATGAAAATTAAACCCCAGCTCATCCATTGATTTGACTATTGAGTTACTAGGTTTTGCTGTGGTATACTAGGCAAATGAAGGAAGTTGCTAGGTTGTGTCATGGGTGTAACTGCTTACAAAATCAAAAGATTGGAATATCTAGTACAACAACAGGAAGCACATACCTTCGTAACTACAAATTTGGTCCTAACTCAATTTTGATAAAAAAGTGAGTTACTAGGTTTTGCCTTTTGACGGGAGACTGGGTGGCTTCAATAGCAAGGGGGGTTGGATGGCTGAATGGTTAGCGTGCGCGCGCTGTATCATAAAGTCTGTCATTGAGTCGACTGGCGTGGTTTCGAATCCCCGGTTGTACGTGACAAGGAGTAGGGTCGCCTGTCCAACCTCGTGGGTTTTCTCCGGGTCCTCCGGTTTCCTCCCACTGCTAAAGACCCCTACGCGCAAGCGAATTATTGAAATAAAATTAAACCATATGTTAGTCCCGAAATGACCTAGTTTGTGTTTAGTGGACGTTAAACCCCATTTCTCTCTCTCTCTCTTCAATAGCAAAGTCGAAGCAGAACAATAGGACGTTAAACCCCATTTCATTTCATTTTAAATCCCTATTATCTTATATCGTATAGATCTAGTAGCAGGAAGTCAAAACAATTTTACACCATGGGAACCTTTATACACACAAAGTTTAATAGCACTAGAATTCTATAGAATTCTAGAGTATTTTGGCTGGTAGATATGAACTCTATAAACCTTTTGTAAAAAAAATGAGATGATAATACCGATTTTGTTTTTAAAAAACAAAGACACTACTCATAATAGTGATTTTTCTAAATAAAGAAACTTATAATAATAAAGACATTGAACAGTGCATTTCTTTCTATATGTAACAAAAACAATTTTTTTAAAAGATAGTTCCATATAATACCATCCCGATGTTATTAAAGGGACATTATTGGAGATTAGATAAAGAGTTGACAGTTTTCGCTATAATAGTTAGAAATAGATAACATATGATAAATAGAATATGCTGAAAAGTTCTGTCAAATTGCTCCACTCTGAACCAAGATATTAGCTTTTAAATTTTAGGCTAGCCATGATCACCATGACTAAAGTCGGTACGATAAAAACAAAGTCTCGATTATCCACTTTTTTTTCCGTTTAATTATTTTCTAAAAAATGTATTCCAATCCGCTAAATGTCGCAGGCTAGCCATGGCATCGAGATTTGATTATGGTCTGGATAAGTTAATTAATGTCTAATTAATAATTTATATAACAATTAAGACCTACAGACAGACCTTCAATTGGCAGATTTAACTCTTGCATAATGTATTTTTAAGTAATAAGATTTATTGTCATGGGGATAACGAGATAGTTGTACCGGAAGTTGTACTACGTGTGAGCCGATGAGAAGTATTCGGAAAAAAATCTCCCAATAAACTGGAGAGGGGTTGCGGGGGGGGGGGGGGTCAAATGGTTTAATGTGTAATAGTTAAATCATAAGGTCTGTCACTGAGTAAAGTAGCGTGGTTTCGATTCTCCCGCTAAATCTAAAACTGCTAATGTGGGTGCGTATGTGTTTACATGTGTGTGGAGTAGGGGCCGGGGGGGGGGGGGGTGTTAAAGCCATATAATAACAGACGACAAGACATCACCAATGAAATATTAGCCTGACATAAAATTATAATCTTTGTCAAGAAATCATGGGGATCTAAATGGGCCTATTGCAGATCAATCTGTGAGACATTTATTTATATGACAATTATATAATCAACTCGCTAGACCATCGGATTGCTAAAAATTAAATGGATTTTGTCGTCCGCGAGATTTAAAACATTAACGGTAAAATGGAGAGTCCAGATTAAAACTCGATTGTCAAGTATCGTTGCTACGATAATAAATAGTCAACGCAACATCTTCAATCAGTCATTATTTCGTTCAGAAAATAGTAATTGGAATGAAATTCTCAACATATTCATTTTTCATTATCTATTTTTGAATTATTATTGCAACACAATACATCTTTAAACAATCTTAGTCTGCTGGTTTTAACACTTCCACTCATCACAAGAAACATTACGATATAGACAATATCTTGAAGATAATGCATTCGTTGTTGTTTGTTTTTTCTTGTCTGGGAATCGTTATACATAGTTGTATCAAACAAAGTTTAAATTAAGTTAATGCTTTATAAAAAAAAAAAAAAAAAAATCTGAAACATTTTTCATAACATTACATTGTTAAAGGACAATATTGGTGCCAGTCATTATCATATATGTGATAGAACTGGTTAAACACGTTCCAAATATTATTTTATCACAGAGATCATTGCTACGATAGATGAGTAATCAATGTTTCAACAATTTCACATAGGAAGTGACGAACGCAAAAGGAAAACACGAGTTATCCCTTTATGTAACTGACTGAAGTGACAGGTGATAACAGATACATGGGC